CTCTAATTTGATTGGCCAAGCAGCGTGTACTGATATGACCAGTCCAACAGCACTGGGACTTCACACTGTTTCACTGTTTGTACCACTGCATTTCATTGTGTTTGTGTCATTCTGGACCAGAGTATGTGAGTGTTTTTACCAGTGAGTGAGGAGCAGGGAATTGAGAATGAGGAGCAGAGCTGGAAAACAACGGTAGAACTCTTCAAACAATCGTTGCTTAGTGGTCTAATCAATAAAATGGGTTTATTGAAGTTTAAACAAGTCTGGCGTCAGCATTCAGTGTCATGTTTTTGGTGGTTGCCTCTTTTGTACTGTTTTGTATGATATCCATAAGCTGATGCTCTGCCTTCTTTTGGAACTATTTTTTTGTTGGTGGATGAAACAAACTGCATGTAATGCACTGATATTAACACGATCACTTTATATGATGAACAGATTTAATTTAGGCTTTTATTCACATAACCATTGATTGACTCACAAACATAGATGACAGCAAATAAGGTAAACGGAAGCTCCAAACTTGCTTGCTTGACGCCTAACAAGAACCAATAAGGCGGTATTCACGTGTCAAGCAAGTACGCTTCCTTCAGAAGACTATTGATTCATATGGATTATGTTAAGAGTGTTTTTACAAATGTTTTGAATCTGCAAAGTTTTGGTTACATGATTTTCAATAGAGGGACAGAAATCTCTCAGGGTTCATTAAATTATCTTCATTTGTGTTTCAAAGATGAGGTAAATGATACAATTTTTGGGTGAACTAACCCTTCATTATTCAGTCACACAGATTCAGTCTATACCTGCACTGAGACAGGCCCGTTTACTCTTCCCCCAGCTGTTTACATTCCTCTCTCCTCGACAGCAAAAGTCAATATTACATTAAAGTATACATTTACAAGTATAACCTTTAATGTGCACTTTACCTCTCTGAAAATGGCTTGATGCCAATTCTCTCTCTGCTCTATAGTCTTCATAACAGATGGAGTTTGCAAAGAAGGTTTTTTTTTTTTTTTTTATCAAGGCCATAAGTGCATATTCATGATATTGGGAGTCAAATTCATTGATTTAGGGATCAATCGCTTAAAAAAAAACATATCAGTCAATCATTAATATGAGTATTAGAGATTAGATGCCATGGTATTTGGAAGATTCAGACATTTTTGTACATGTGGAACTTTGGATTGCATCTGGTGCAGCAGAGGCCCAGAATGGAGAGATGAGCAAAGAGCTGAGAATACTACTCACCCAGACGCATAATCAAACTGAGCAAAATATTTTTCATTGACACGCACACACAAAAGACACAAAACTAGAATTTTCAATTCATGGCCTCTTTAAAAAAAAATATTTAAAACAGGGAGGGAGGGATGTCAAATGAGCAGAACAATGGCACTTTTCTATCACCAGAGGCCAAGAAAGTGTATATAATCGTAAAAGCCAAACATATAGTCACATGGTCACAGATTGATGGCATTGCCAACACGGTAAATGTACTAGCCTTCATTGCATCGCAACTTTTTATGCCGGCTTTGAAAAAAATATACTATATTATTCACACTCGAGAAGTTCTTCATCAAAAGCTGTACACTCAGATGATACGCAAATTAGGACGCGGCAGGTGGATGGAAGGGAGGGGATGGAAAATAAGAGGGTTTGGTGAAATCACCCAAAGAGTAAAGTAATTGCAGAAACAAGTTATTAGGCTATATTTTGGTTAAAGTTTAGGAGGAAAATAGATGCTTGTTTGGAATATCGAGCCACGTGGACCGTAAACAATACGACAACATGAGCATTAAGAACGTAAATGGGGTCGGTTTTTATTTTTTTATGTATCGGTGGAGACGGAGTTACTTACATGCGCTCCATCAGCATCACTCTTCACTAGGGTACCCAAGTGCCCGTGCGGCAGCTCCTCCTCCGCGTCAGTTCGCTGCAGCAGGCGCTGAGGCTTCGTGCGCTCCTCCGCAAACGCGTTCTGCTCGCGTCCCCGTTCCGCTCCGTCCCGTTTGATGCTGCTGCCCCAGCCTTTCAATACAGGACACATTCATAAAAAAAACTGCACGACAACCGTCAAAGCCATGATTCGATGTAATTCTAATGCGTTTACAGCCACTACACTTTATCTAGCCTGCGGCATCACTTGCGTATTCTGACGCGACACTGAAAATTCACAGCCATGCCCGTGATAGAAAACGGGGCCATCCGTGAAATGAAGAATTCGTTTCACCTGTTGGCGCACATTATATACATAAATAGCTACAGCTTATACTCATATCACGAATCCGCTCCCAACGCGGCATCCGTCGCTCACCTGTCACGGCGAGACGCGCGGTAACCGCAGCCCACAGGAGGAGGCAGCGCGTCGCCAACATGATCACATACTCCTGCGGCTTCAACCGGAGCGAAAAGATTCGAAACGCGACATTTACCACCTCATCCCGTTCTGCACAAGAAGTCACGAGGAAGACGTTAAGGGCATCCGTGGAAAACAAGACGACGCTGACGGGACAGAGTTTAGAAAGTGTCCGTGATGTCCGCTTTTGTCGGTCAGAGATTGCGGGCGGAATTCATGTTGGGATTGAAACGCTCCTTCTGCGGGACTCCCATCCGCACCTCCTCCCACTCTCCTCTCTTCTCCTCCCCTTCACTTCACACCGCACTCAAATGCAACATCAGATTCTTTAACCTGCTGTCATGTTAAAAAATATAACATATTACCATGCAAAATAAACATAAAACTCAGCAATAAATGCATATCACATATAATTATATAAAACGAAATATTTTATTGTTATATACACTGTATATATATATATATATATATAGACTAACTATAGATACTAATACAAAGGCTATGCTATAGCATATAGGCCTATATTAGAGTTCTGTCAAGCGCAAGTACTTCGTTGTGAGTGAGAGATCACGTCATCTAAAAGAGATAAAAGCATATCAAATATTCTCGTCCTCAGCAATATCTCTCATGCCTGAGGTTTAAATCGATCTGTACTAACCCTTAGTTACTTTAAAAACCTTTCCCATTTCCCACTCTAAATCATTCAGACTATATAGTAAACAGCACATGGCACACTATTTAGGGAACATGGGAAAGACAGATCTGATGGGCAAGGAATTTACTATTGTAGCATACACATTTTTTATCAAGAACTATGACCGAATGGAACAATTGCATGCTGCTAACTGCACACAATACACTGCATGTTGCCTATACTCACTTTTTTATTATTAAATAAAAATTATGTATGGACGACATATTTCAATATGCATATGGTGAAAGTGGTATCCAGTTTTCTTAAGACGTCAAAAACCCATTTCTAATTCAGTTGTGCGAAAACGCCTTAACTTCTCATTGTCTGATCAAACAATGAGTCAAGAAAAATTTAAAAATCTTTGAAGTTCCTAAGGTTCCTATGTCACATTGGAAATGAAAGGTCAGGTCAAGTACATTTCATTGTGTAATACATTATCTCTTATAGGTTGAATTACATGGTAATCAAATTCATTTTAAAGAATACCTTGTTATTACCACAGTACATGATTTGTAAAAACACATGGCAATATCCCCTCCCATGGTACCTGTGAGTCACTACAGCATTATTAAGCATTGACTGATTATCCATAATAGAAATACTAAAAACATATATATGCTTATTTATTTCAATAATTACATAAATTACAGAATAAATTATTAATGTGTAAATAATAATCAAAACACTTGCCATTGCCCTATAGCTCCTTCAACATAACAGACCCATTCATAAGAAATACCCTGTAATAAACAAACACAATATCTACCTGAAACTAAAGACTAGCAAACATTAGGAGATAACATTATTCAACACAAGTCAATGTTTTACATAAATAAGCACACAAACTGACCATTTTGTCTGATTTTAATAAGAATGCAAAAAACTCTATACTAGTAAATTAGCATCTTCTTGAAGTTAACAGCTTTTAATATAGAACTGTACAAATACCAAAAAAAAGAAAAAAAAAGTACATAATACAGTAAAAAATATATATTGTAGAACTCTAAATTTATTCAGGAATTGGTCTTAAAACATGTATAATTGCCCATAGGCCTCCTTTAAAAGGCTAATTCCCAGTGTTTATGGAAAATCATACAAGTTCAAGATTTTGGTCATGCTACAGAGACAGCAGTGGCACATACTCCACATACTCTTTTCAGAACTAATAATATGAATGCACATAGTTCTGTCACTAATAGATGACATTAAACATTAATTAGCATCGAATAATTAAAACACTGTCCATTGTACAAGCCATACCACTAAACCTTTTAAAGCACATTTGCAGGAAATCGGAAAGGCTTAAAAAATGAACTCAAAATACCTCAAAGACCTTCATGAAACCACAGGACATTTCTGCCTTCACAGTGTATTCTACCCTGCGTGTTCTTCAAAAACCACCACAGCATTGTTCTACCATCAACACTGCCTCTAAACTGGAGAGAGGCCAGGCACAGCACTTAAACTAATTGGATAATGCCCCTCCAGCAAAGCCTCATTAAAGTCTCAATACCAGCACGTTCCCGGATATTGCTGCTGAAAAGTCATGGTCAAAACCGAGGGAAAGAGAGAGCCAAAAGAGACGTCATGGAGGTCACTCGCAGAGGAGAGCACGAAACGCTTGTCAACTGTTGATTAATACCATGTTTGCTTGGTTGTGGTGAGATATCGCATACTAGGAGACAAACGTACAACACTGAAATGGAATGTCTGATATGCTTGACAATAATGTATAAATATTGATGTAAGACATGACTGATTCATTATCACAACAATCTTTATCAAATAGAACATATGTGGAAACCGCTGGGATTATTTACACATTCGCTGCAAAGAGGTGTACAGAAGCCCACCTCTATAAATAAATGTTCTACATAAAATACAAAGCTTTTCACAACAATTCAGTCTTATTTCTCAACTAATGGTGATAGTAATCTTAATTTAATTGTATAAGTGAAAATGAGTGACTAATGAGAATGGAGAGTGAAGGAATCGACGGATTTAGGATAGAATTCATCAAGTCGCAATTGTCCTATTGCGTGTATTGGTGCAACATTATTCCTATAAATGTGAATCAAGAGGGTTGCAGTATGGAGCACAACCGTGATGTATAGCTCCCATCCTGCATGGCACTGTGTGGCTTTTGTAGTAACTGACCCAGGTCATCATGCCCCCCTTTAGCCTGAAGAGGAACAGCAGTCGCAATCCATGACAAGAGTCCAGAGTCCCAATCTGATTCTGAGGAGGCCGTGGACCACGTGAGGTTAGGGAGCAGAGCAGATTCAATGCAAACAGAGGCTCCGGAGTGTGACTGGAATGAGCTGTTTGAGGCTTTACTGACTGATGTATGGGAGGTATCTTCGGGAAACAATTCTGGAGGATCATGATATTGACGGCACTGGAGTCGTTGGTCTTCATGGAAAAATGGAACCAACTGAGGAGGGTCCAAATCGGATGAGTAAGTGGTTACTCGGGATTCCACTGGAAACAATTCATGTGACTGCTCAACATGGACACAAGTTTGACTTGCGTCATTGTCCTGTTGGTCAACTTGAGGCAAATAGTGGGTATTGGGAGGAGTAAAATATTTTAGGGAAGGCTGCGTTGGGATCTGCTTTGCAAAAGAAGATTCTTTCAGTGATGATTCATGGGTTTCCGGTAAGGCACCTCCAGTTCGATTATTTATCTTTGTTGCAAAACCCACCTTGGGTACTGGTAAACAAGAAATGGTGGAAAGTACAGATGAGTACAGTCTTATCCTAGGAGCACTGCAATTCCAGGATAGCTTTGGCTTTTCGCTTTGACTAATCTTTCTTCTCTTTGCAAGTTTTGGACTTGGAGTGAAGGACCTGCAGCGCTTTTTAAAGTTAACTACAGAAAATTGGTAATCTGACAAATGTGGAAATGGTAGTAAATGGGGAAATGAAAAGTAAGAGATGCCAAACTCTGGAGACCCAACAATATCCTGGGCCAATTTTAGCGATTGTTTTGTTGAAGACAACTTTCTATTTTCCATCACAAACTGGCCACAACTCTCAGAATTACAATCTTCCCTTCCGTGGAGTAGCATTTTAGGGCCTTGGTCCCAGTTCTGTTTTTGATTTTGTGAGCAGACGGTGTTCAGAACAGCACCTGTAAGACTCTCTGACATATGCAATGCAAGTCGACCACGACCACTTTCACATCGATCCTGAGTTTCAGGGACATATTCATCAACAGAGATGGTACATGGGATTTTGTCATCTCTGGAGGAGCTTAGGATCATTTTAGACTGAGTTTCTGAGGGTGTGACAGAAGAGAGGCTTTTGAGTTTCTTCTCTATAGACTGGGATTTTGAGAAAAACTGATGCGGGACTATATCCATGCAGAGAACACCAGATTGAAAGTCTTGAACCTTTGTGGTGCAGCTGATGTAAAGGCCTAATTTGTCATGATCAAGAGGATCAGGGCAGTTATTTTGAATTCTATCAAGATGTGAGGTCGCATTTTGTTGACCAGATGGACTGTGGCTGGGTTCAGGAAAGTTTTCTCTGTTGTCTAAAGATGAAGAAAATATGTCAGTAATTGGCGGTACGTGTCCACAGTCTTCAACCAGTGGAGTCTGCAGAAATTTTTCATCCTCACTGACAGTATTCTGCATCTCAGTTAAATGATTCAAATGTAACGGAGAGAAGTCTGTCGATGACCTGAAGAAAAAGAGTAAAACGAGTTAAAACAGAGAAACATTCAGTGTTTTACTGTCAACATGGCAACAGTGAAAGGCAATCACATGAACTGCTTCCAATCAAAGAAAGCTTTTGTAAAATGGGCCCTTACTTGATTAGAGTTGGATCCACTTCTTGATTTGGATTGCAAACAAAGCTAGCATTCATGCCAGCGGTTAGTTGGTCCACTACAGCATAGTTACTGTCATTTTGAATGAATGAACGATGCATCTCAGATTGCAAGTGCTAAAAAAAAAAGGAAAAAAAAAGAAAAATAATTTGATGTCTATCAAATGAGATCTTAGTAGGGGTGCAACGGATCGCAGTTGACCCGTGATCCGTACAGAACATCCCCACAATTCAGTACGCATGCGATTCGCGGATTAATTGAACGGTTGAGAAAGAAACCGGATGAGTGTCAGAGTATTTTCGGTCTGTGCATTCAGTCTTAAAGTGACAGCAGACTAATATTCCTGCTGCTGTCTATGTCATTAATGTTAATAAAACAACAAAATACAGCTTCAACAAAGATAAATCTATATTTAATTTCTACAGTAAACAAATAGTGTTATTTTACATTTAGGCCTTATTAATTTCTGTTAGACTTTGTAACTTTGTTATAGTATTCATTTATGCTTGTAATTTGTGTATTTGTTATTTTATTACTGACTGTTCACTTGTCTTTAATGTTTGAACTTGCAGTTTTTGCTGTGGTATCGACATACCCAAAGTGAGCTTTAAGTAATGAATTAACTTTTCTTTTCTGATCCGAAAAATTAACCGATCCGTGACGCAAAAACCATACATGATCCAAAACGTGAATTTTTCAGATCCGTTGCACCACTAGATCATAGGCAAGTTTGGATATGAATTTCAGTGCCTCCTGGTTGAGTCATTTTTGATATCAAAACCTAATTGATATTAAGGCTGTCACTAACGATTATTTTGGTAATTGAGTAATCGTCAATTATTTTGATGACTAATTAAGTAACCTGATATTTTTTTGGTGGTAATAAAAATAACTAATAAAAATAGTAATTAAAAAGACTTTAAAATGACTTAAAATACATATGACAATGAGGCAATACTATTTGGTTCAAATAAAGTAGGGGTCGACCGATATGTGATTTTCAGGGCCGATACCGATTATTACAGGTCAAATAGACCGATAACCGATATATATATATATATATATATATATATATATATATATATATATATATATATATATATATATATATTATAGCTATGTCTGAAAATAGCTATAATACTGTAAATTAATGTCAAAATTAAGAATAACAAAGGGTTTTGACACATACTTTCTTTAAATGATTTTAAACATATCTTTGAATCTGAGAACTGTTATTAATAATAATAATAATAACTTGTAAAAAGTGCAGGGAGCACCCAGCAGCATTCTGTAAACATTTTGTAAAACTTAAAGACTCTATTTTAATTTTTAAATAAAATTTTAGTAATCAAAAAGCATTTCTAATGAATTAAAATCAAACTTATTCAATTTATTTACAGTTTAACAAAAATTAAATTTTTAGGGCCTTGTGAAAAACCATAGACTGTAAAAAATAGGTGAAAAACCGAACTTTTATTTTGACGGGTTGCCGTAAAGATCTTTGAGTTTCTGTGTGTTTATGATATGTCGATAACTTTTCTCAGTTGAAGCATTAAAAAGCTCATGAAGTGACTAAGCGGCTCTGGAGATGATGTTTATGCAATCATGTCCTCATATAATGATGCGGCTGAGGCTGAAAACAGCGCAAGCGTCACGCGCGCTCCAGTGTGTGTGTGTGTTGTGTGTGGTAACTGAAATCACGCGTCTCTGCGCCATTCATTTAACATTAGAGACACGCAGGATTCATATTTAAATAGTCTTTTTGCGGTTTGATTTGTACTGACCTGCTTTTTATTAATTCATCAAAAAGTTGACAAATTCCGTGATATTCCGCTTTATACAGTAAATTCCGTTTTATGACTGGATTCCGCGACTCCGTCTGTTCTGCATCGCAGAAATCACAGGGCTCTATTATATTGAGGTATTTTGCAACTTCAGTGTAGTAATCTATTGCTTCTTCAGCAAAGTCTGCTGCTGCCTTAACTTTGAGAGACAACTGAAGCGTGATCAGTGAAGCAGCTCTAGTCAGCGAGTGCTCTCTCGGTGTGAGAGTGCAACACTTTCAGTGCCTCAGCTTTCCGCGCTGATTGGCCGGACTCGTGACTCCCAACAAATCAGATGTGCGGGGACATTAGTCTAGTCTACAGAGTGGTGAGTTCCGACAAAGGTGGCTGCGTCAGAGCCAAATATAGCGCATTTCAAAATAAAATTATTTTATCGGCAAATCGGTTTTGAAAATGGCCGATAGCGATAACCATAAAAATGCTTAATATTGGCGCCGATAATCGGTCGACCCCTAAAATAAAGTACTAAAAGCAAGTAGTCATAGGGTTTTATAGAACAACACTGCAAAAAAAAACATAATATACATAATATAAATCATCTCATGTACATTATGTATTATAAAAAATGCGTGCAGAGGGTGCCAGCGACCTGATGTGGTTACACTTTAAAGCAGATCAAATCAGTGTTTAATATTGGCCAAACAACAAGAAGAATATGTGGACATCAAAACATGCAAACTCAGCGCAGGGTTTAAACTTTATTTTTTGAAATCGCGGTGAACAGGATGCATATTTAGAAACATATTGATGTATTCACCTGTGTTTGCGTAGGTTTATAAATGATTTACCTTACAAATCTGATGAAATGGCGCACATTGCATTCCTAGATTAACGTTATAACTTATTTTCAACTCAAACAGAGATGGAGTTTGAGACGTGCTCCACGCATGTAAATAACAGTTCACGTGGCGCAGCATTTACTGTGAACTGAGCCGCTCTGAGACGCACGTCTAATGATGAGGTTCATGGATTTTCGTCCGTGGAATGTGCCATTTCCGGTATTTTTGCCAGTTACTCGACATGGGCAAATTGAAATCGAGGATTATATCAAGAAATTTATCAAGGATTAGTGACAGCCCTAATTGATATTAAAGCGTCTTGCAAAATCTTTTTGGTATCACAATTTTTGCAAACAAAATACCAAATTAACTCACCTCATACTGGTCTTTGTATGGCATGTGGCAGCACTCGCAATAGCCTGAACTTTTCTTAGTTGGGCCTTTGGGTGTGGCGCTTGCTGTAAGTGGCACAGTCTGCAACTTATGGCAGCTGCTAGTGGGTTCTTCCTTCTTCCTAAGTAAAACAAAAACAAAAACACCTTACAGATTTAAGTGACAATTTAGATTTGATTATCAACTTCTCAAAAAGCAAAGAACATACCTGAAATTGTCCTTGCTGGGATCTTCATCCTTGCTTCTACCAGACTGGCGAGGAATGAGGAGCTCAAAAGGGCTATATTTGCCTGAGTAAATCATCATTGGGAAACTCAGAGTCTGTGCATAGAATGGTCTGAACTTCCTGTTTATAAAACCAAAATCATAGATTAAAAAAAATGACAAGCTTCTTTGAACAAGTCGTCTCATTTTCTATCTAGAGGACACTAGGGGGGCTTTCACACTGGCAGTTTAGTTCGGAACGGGGCACGGTTCGCATGAAAAATCGCTAATGTGAACGCTGTCATGGGACCCGGGTGCGCACTGGGGTACCGAACCCGAGACTACCTGGAGGAGGTGGTCTGAGTTCGGTTGCTCCTGAACTGTGCCACGGTTCGCGTGAAAGCAGCACGGACTCGGGTGCGCACTTGTTCAGGAAGTAAAGTGACCTATGCATGCGTTTAGCTTATTGTGATGTATTCAGTTATAAAACTGAATAAAACACTTGTAAGGGATGATAGTGTTGATGATTTACCTTGGGCACGAGCAAGAGTGAGCCTGCAGTGTATTCGTGCATTGCGCGTGAAATCAGGGCACCAAATTTGGAAATCCACTGTCTCCTCAAAAGAGTCCGTTTGCAAGCAGCAGAAGCCCACCTTATGTGACACACGCACAGTAAACCTGTAGTGTTCACTCAACTGCGCATAATAGCAGCGAATTAATAAAAAACACAATATTGACCCGCGTTCTGTTTTCTATCATGCGTCGTGCACGTTTGCGATGACGTAAGATGCACGCAAACGCACCAGGGTTCGATAGAATCAAGTTGAGTTTGAAACCAGACCAACGCTGCAGGGGGCACCGGGAACAAACGAGCCCAGTGTAAAAGCCCTCTAAGTCTACCCATCTCATATCTTCATATCTCAGATTTATGTTTTTGAAAATATAAGAAACAGCATAACATTTAAATTCCAAAGTATTAGGTAGATGACAAATGGATAACATCAAAAATGTATATATTTGTATTGAAAACGCGTTACCTGCTGTAAGTGGTGAAATTTTTTTACTTTTAGTCAACTTTTGTCTTCATTTAATTTTCATTGTAAAAAAAATTGATTTAAAGATATTCTATGTATAATTGTAATTATTATAATAACTATATTAATAACTACGAAAGCTGTTGAGCTTTCCTGTAGCTCAAACAGTAGAGCGTTAGGTATGGGTTTGATCAGGGCCGTCGCTAGTGGGGTGAAAGGTGGTGACAATTATAGGGGCCCCCGCTGCCCAGGGGGCCCCACAGAATCCAGCAGTTATACTATTTAGGCCCCTGTAGTATGAATAATTCTAATATTTATATTAGTTGTATGCCTGAGATTTAAATGAAAACCACAAAAACGTGCAATTTGGGTAAATATTTTTCCAAATATCTGCTTCTCTTACCTCCATAAAAATGGTTTAGTCCGACCTAAAGTATGTATTAATTATTCAGTCAGAGTCAGTGACAAACATCAGATGGACCCAATAAAATTGTAAGTCCCAGCCCAGCTCGTGAACAGAACCAATCAGAGTTGAGGCGGCAGCCTGAAGTTAACGATGAACTTGGTGGAAGAGCAGGAGACTAACTGACTGAAAAATGTCGGGGAAAAGAAAACAAATCAGGGAACCAGAAATGCCAGGAAAAGACGGAGAGGGAGGCAAGGAGAGTGGTTGTATCCCAGTCGATCAAGACGTTCTTAAAGACCGCGTATATATTGTTATTTCGCTGGGAATTAGAAAACTTCCGTCTACAGTCTGCCGTGTACAGTCATTTTTTATTATCGGTGCGCGCCGCAATCGACCGAATGATTACGTGGTCTAAATTCCTGTCTTTTTCCAGTATTGTAAATAGAGTTTTAAAAAAAATTACACGAGTCACGACGCATTGCATTATGCATCTGACCTGCCGGCTGATGATATTTAAAACATCGAGAAAACATGAATACAACACACTGCACTTGGGTGAATAAATGTATTCGCTTTATTTAATAATATTACCAGTTCCATATTATCTTTATTAAAAAATAAGACAATGAATGCTTTTATTTTTTGAATTAGACTGCATGCTTGTCAATTTTTTAAATGTTTACTTTTTGATTTATGAATTATAACAGACTGATGGGGAAAAAAAAATTATTACTTTTTAAAAATTGGTTTTATTATTATTTAACAATTTCTTGCTTTTTTGTTAGTTTTTATTAGTTGTAATTTTTATATAAACATTTAACTTTTAAAATAAAGGTTTTACAACAACATCACCATCTTCTGTTATGTGGGCCTCCATGTTCATCTATTGTACGGTATATGATATTGTTGGAGGGTGGTGGGGGCCCACATCAATATTTTTTCAGGGGGCCCCGAATCCTCTAGCTACGGCCCTGGGTTTGATTCCCAGGGAAGGCAAGAACTGATAAGAATATAAAATGTGTACCTTGAAATGCAATGTAAGTCGCTTTGGATAAAAGCGTCTGCCAAATGCATAAATGTAAATGTTATAAGGCTGTGAAAACCATGCATAATTATAATTGTGCATAATTACAATAAAAAAATGCTTTTTAAACAAAATACCCGTTTCATAAAGCCAATATATTAAGAACTAGTCTGACAAGTAAAGGGGTAATTGGTCTTTTCACATTTAAATTAGACCAATCTATATTTTTTATGCAGCTGACAAAGTTATGACTAAATTGCCAGTTACGTACGTACCAAACGGGCAGTGATTTTGAGTTGAGATTTAGCATGTGACGATACAGAACAATTTAAGCTATACTGACACACTGTTGACTCTAATATGCTGCATCGGCATCCACATTTATTAAATGAATACTTCACTTAAAAATGTAAATTCTGTCATCATTTACTCACCCTCAAGTTGTTTCAAATCTTTATGAATTTCTTTCTTCTGATGAACACAAAAGATATTTCGAAGAATGAGTAATTTGAGTAAATGATGACACAATTTTCATTTTTAAGTGAACTATTCCTTTAAGTAGACTAACAGCAACACGCATTTTCCATACAATTGAGGAACTAAACTAAAATCTATCTATTGTGGAACTCTAGGCTTTCTGATCAAATTCTAACATTGTTTTTTCACTGAGGACACAGGGGAGCAAGAACATTGGTTTAGTCCAAAAGCTTAGCCAGCTGACTTGCTGGCTTATTCGTTGCCTGATTTCGTCACCTTTGGCATGCTTAGTTGGGGACACTTAATATTCAACAATATTATTGATCTGCCTGCATTGACACCATTATATGAGAACTGAACTGAGCTGGACGATGACATCACTGTTTTCCCCAGATCGGCTGTAGAGATAAATGAACTAAATTAATAACTTTTTACAACAGAAATGAATCAACACTGAACTACTTAAGCTGGACTGTGACACTATTTTCTTCTAGATCTGCTGTACAGCAAAAACAAACTATGTTGCATTATTAAGTTGGCTTGTGAGAGCCAACTTACTGAAATCCTATTTAAACTTATTATTAAACTTACTAACTAATCTATCTTTCTTTTCTCTTTCTAACTAATCTTTCTTTCTTTCTAACTAATCTATCTTTCTTTCTAACTAATCTTTCTTTCTTTCTTTCTTTCTAACTAATCTTTCTTTCTAACTAATATATCTTTCTTTCTATCCAACTAATCTTTCTTTCTTTCTTACTAATCTTTCTTTCTTTCTAACTAATCTTTCTTTTTTCTAACTAATCTTTCTTTTTTCTAACTAATCTTTCTTTCTTCTTTCTAACTAATCTTTCTTCTTTCTAACTAATTTTTTCTTCTTTCTTTCTAACTAATCTTTCTTCTTCATTTCTAACTAATCTTTCTTTCTTTCTAACAATTCTTTCTTTCTTCCTTTCTAACTTTCTTCTTCTCTCTTCTCTTTTCTCTCTTCTAATCTTTCTTCTTTCTTCTTTTCTTATCTTCTTATCTATCTATCTTTCTTTTCTTCTTCTTCTTCTTTCTTCCTTCTTTTCTTTCTTCTCTTTCTTTCCTTCTTTTCTTCTTTCTTTTCTTTTCTTTCTCTTTCTTCTTTTCTTTCTTCTTCTTTCTTTTCTTATCTTTTTCTTTCTTTTTTTCTTTCCTTTCTTCTTTCTTTCTTCCTTTTCTAACTATTCTCTTCTTCTTCTATCTAAACTAATATTTCTTTTTTTTTTAAACTTTAAACTATTAAATCTTTCTTTCTTTCTTCCTTTCTAAACTAATTTTTTTTTTTTTTTTACTTTAAACTATTTAAAACTTTAAACTACTTTAAACTTCAAACTACTTTTAAACTTCAAACTTTCTGGGCCAAACTTTCACAAGCCAACTTAAAGTTTGTCTCGACAAACTTTTTCTAGTTTTCCTGTTATCACTGTAAAACTGCTTCAGAAACAATCTGTATTGTAAAAAGCGCTATATAAATAATGGTAACTTGACTTGATTTCGGACCGAGTTCTGAGGCAGTGTGACGGTTTAATGATCTACAACTAAATAGAGAGAGCTTTGGTAATAATAACTAAGTGACTTTTTAATTACTTCACTAGTACTTTCTGGGTAGAAATTACATCAAAAGTGGAAAACGTTAGTCAAAAACGTACATTTACACACAAACTGGCCACCAACCACAACTTTCATGTCACCCCAACTGTCACAGAATGGAACACACAGGGTATCAAAGATAGTGAAGGATACATCTATACTGCCTCCAAAAATCGATCAGATGAAGGCATCTCAGGAAACAGGTAGCGAAGCTAACTATTGGATTCAGACGTCCTTTGATACCTTCCTACCTTTGAATGCAGCCTCCAAAGACAACATTTGTAATCTTCGGGACTCAGCCTTTAATATTTCAATTAGCTGACAATCATATGACGAAATATAACTGAGTTGAGTTTAATCTGCCAACAGTTGAGCAACTCATCTTGAAACAAAACAGACCACTGCGTGGAAGATTGTGTTTTTCTTTATCCTTAACTTAGGGAAGATGCGCAGACTAATTAGTAGGGATGCACCGATACCATTATTTCCAGAACAAGTCAGATACGATCCTTTCATTTTTAGCACTTGTCGATACAGAGTACCGATGCCTGTATTTTCATTGCCCAATATTTGTAAAAATTTAAAAAATGCAGAGAAACCAAAAGATTATGAATCAAATTAGTTGGCTTAGGAAATAGATATTTCCTTCAGTTATTTTTCATTCCTATTTATGCCTGTTAAAATGTATTGTAGGAGCTACTGTTACTTTTACTAACCGTTCATATTATTGCTATCATATTTTATCTTTAATTTAATAGCACAGAGAATATTTAGAGCCTCTCCATAAGGGCTCAATGATAACTTGTTTCTACTGGCCCAGTTGTGTCGATACTTGCCTAATGCCTATACAGGCATTTTGACAAGTTTGTGTGAATTTGTCCGTTCAAGCAAGTTTAGGACTGGCGCGACTATACCAGCTCACAAGGTGGAAGCAGACATTATTTGCGTGCCGTCTGAGAGACTGCTTTCTGGGCACGCTCCTCAGATGTTTGCGCACCGAAAACGTATTGAAAACAGTCATGTGATTACTGTACCTCCTTCCTGTAATGTAGGGAACCACTCATTATACATAAAACCATGTAACAGTTTATGTTTTTACTTGCAGATAAGATTTAGTTTTAATCCAAATGACACACGTGTGCTGAGTGAGCGATTAGAAATCAAGAACATGCAATAGAAGTTCTCTCTCGATCTCTATTCTCTATTAGTACACAAGTGCAGTATCGGGCCTGATACCGATAGTATCGGTGCATCCCTACAACAAGAAAATAAATCCTTGCAATAAACCACAAAACTAGCCAATGAATGGTTTTAGCATCCATAAGGTAAGATTGTGATACTCAGAAACACAGTGATTGTAATATTGAAGATATTGTACACAATTGTAATGACCTACTACATTCTTCACAAACTCTGTAAGAGCCAGGGTGAGGGACTGTGTGTGTGTGCACCTGTAAACCAGCCTGATTCATCAGTGTCGCTGTCATGATCAAACTTGAGCCTCCAATAAACAATGTCATGTGAAACTATTGTGTTTTGAGTTCAAGAACTTGGCCATGATCTGAGCAGGTTCTACGCAGTTTGGTACGATAGAGATAAACAACAATATTTCAAAATTAGAAAGAACAGATGTGCCTGGTGCTGATGATACAGTTATCTTAGTAGTAAATGTCCAAAAAAAGTTCAAATGTTTAGGGGCTTCCTCTAGTTAAATCATCCTCTAGCATTAGAAATGGATGACATTTGGCATCTCACCTCGAATGTCCTGTTGTACAAAGTTTTGTGAAGTTTAGACATTGAACTTTCTACATGCAAGTAAATTTGTCATTATGGGCCACATCCAAAAATATATGGGCCCACATCTGCAAAATGATTCAATCTTTTGATAACTTTTTGTCAGCAGTGAGATATATATATATCATATAATACCACTGATATAGTATTGACAGGAAACCACTGCAATAACACATCAAGTTTCACATCATGTCAGTATGTAGAAATTACCATTAAACAAAATAGATAAATGTTGAAAAGTATTAATCATGTGTTAGTTATTGCATTCAAGTAATGTAAACATACAGAACTTTATTGTAAAGGGTTCCCTAAACGTGTTTGACAAAATCTAGCGTGCAGCCAAATAATGAAAATTTAAGAAAATTTCTTGGTGTTTTGTTTTGCTAAGGACAGTAAAATGACATGCTACTTCGTCTGACTATTTATATGTCATTGTACTATTTCGTGTAGTCTTTATGTTGATGTAATATGTACAGTATAATGTATAATGCATAATATGGGCTTAATCACCCATATCCATCAGGATCTAGTATATAGATCAACGTCTGCAGCAGCAGCGCTAAACACAATAGATCTTTTCATTAGCCAAGAGCTGCCCTGTGCACACAGATCCTCTGCAGGGGAGGGAAGGGATACCTTTCAGACTGGCCTCAGGGTGGCCCTTAGGATGCGCCGTGCATTTTGATAATTAACTTTACTAAAACTGCAGTGACCTGAGCTGAAACATTAGCCTTGTTAATGGGGCTGCATGGGGACCAAAAAAAAAGTTTCACAATGCAAACAGTCAAATACACCTATTACCTAACTATGACCAGAGTTATTAGGATTTTAAAGATAAAAGATATATTTAAAAAAATCTAATAAAAATTCAATCTGACAAAAGACAACCCACTAATTTAAAGAGACACTGGCTGTGATTGAATAACATAATACTACTCAAAATATTTCTGCAGTTTTCAGTATGATATATTAAAAACACTGTATGATCTACAAAAAAAACTGTACACACAATGCAATATACAGGACTTGACATCCCATTTCCACAGTCTTGAAAGAACCAAAAGTGATATCAGCCAAGACTGACATCATCTTGACTCATTATTTGATCACAGTACAAGAGGCTGAAACAACCTCTGTAATATTTCAGTTAACATTTGGAAAAAAAAGTTAATTAGGTACAATATACAAGTAAAAAGTACCTAAACTGAAAATAGGGTTAAGAGAATAAGACTGAGGGCTAAAACTCACCGACTGAAGTCTTCCACTTTCAGATAAGGACCCTTCAAGACTCCAGCTGTGTGAAGACACTCAGTATTAACACTCCACAGTGTTACACTCCGCATATGCCACCTCTACACTCAGGTTTCTCAGGTATAGAGGTGTGCAAAAAATATTAAAGCTAGTCGTATATTTACTTTGGAACAATTACAACAACAAGTACATGTTTATGTAGTTTACGAACCTTTAACATGAGGAGCTGTAAGTTTGCTGCTTTTTTTCTGTTTGGAAAGAAAGTGTGTGAAATCAATTTGTGCGAATAAGAAACTCATGTTTGACAGTAAACAATAAATTAAGTACAGTACATTACCTTAGCTGTCCTCATTTTCTGATTCAGATGATTGATAAACTTGAGAAATTCTGTCATTTAGGTTAAAGAAAAAAAACAAAGTACAGTCATAAGAAAATAATGTGCTTCTAACTCATATCATAGCTTATTTAATAATAGGGGTCCACAATATAATCCTATGAGTACATATTAGTATTTCACATTCACTGAACTTTAAAATCAAATTGTATATGATAGTGCTCTCTGTGTTGGTTTCTTGTAAGAATACCATTCATTAGCACTCAAATAAATTGCTATGCTGTGGTTTTTTTAATGATGCATTGTATTTTACATTTTCTATGTTCATTGTAATGCTGTGCAGTGCAGGGCAAGAAAGAAAGTTTGAGTTCTTGTTTAAATGCCCCCTGTTCTCACTGGCTAACACACCCAGGCTTAATAAGGAAGCACACTACTTTAAGAGCCAGGGATGTAAACTTTTGAATAGGAAAATGTAATTCCTCATGACATTCCTCTTTAACTCTTTCACCGCCAGTGCTTTTGTAAAAAGTTGCCAGCCACTGCCAGAATTTCTGACCATTTTCACAAAAGTTTCATGGCCCCCAGAATATTTTCTTTTATGAATAACTGAATATGCAATATATCAAAAGAAACAACAGACCCTCTGCTTTTAAAAAAAACCCATTTTATTCTAACTTCATGCATTCCTTTTTTACCAAAAACTTAAATGTGGGTACGTTTCATTTTAAAAAAGCAACATTGAGCAAAAGGCTGAGAAAATTACGTTTTTTGTGAAAGACTACATTCAGATTGAGATCGAGATTCAGAGCGATGATCAAAACATAGACGGAGTAGATCAAGTCCATCAACACCCCCAAAGCTTGCACAGTCCTATAGCTCCTCCTAGATCGACATTGCATTCAGTAACATTAGGCAGTTTTGATTTAGATGCTGTTTAATGTTGATGATCTTGTTATTTTACATATGGGTCTGCTCTTTGGCTACATATTGCTCGTTTCTGCTTCTTCTTCACGTCTTTTGATCAGGAGATTCAGTACTCTTTTAAAAGAGGCCTAATAGCGCCCCCTACTGTATAACAGTGAAAACACCGAAAGCCAGACATTTCTGTCAATGGCGGAGAAAGAGTTAAATAGTATGTGACAGACCTCTGACTCAAGATTATCTAAAACAATTGGCAATTGTGATACCCTTTACACAACACTTCATATGGAAAGCTATTTCCAGTTGCCACAGGGTCAAGAAAAGAATAGTTCACCTGAATATTGAAATTGCTGATACTTCTCAAACCATTTGACTGTTCATGAAACATAAATAGTGAATTCTTAAAAAAAAAATCCTAGCTATTCAGTATAATCAAAGTGAACAAGGAATTAGGCTTTCAAACTCCAAAATACCACACACGAAAACCAGCAACACACGGTAGACACGCGTTTGTGCAGCGCAGAGTGGCTCTCTCACAATGTATGATGTAACAAACAACAATTTAGTCCAGTCCGGTTGAGTTCACTCCGCGAGAGTATTCCAAGAATGCGTTTGGGAGAATGTGTGTGTGAGTTTGGTTATAGAATGCGGTTGTTACTCCCATAACCGTATCAAGGACTCAAATACAAGACTGACATCCGTATTCTGCTGCTGTGTGTGAACATGGCCTAAAAGCAGCCTGTGTGACTGATATACATATTGTCAAGTGCTCACTGGCAGCAGTTACATGAAAGGATACCATCTACACTGTAGACCTTGACTCCCCATGAGCGAGCATTAGCCAGCACACTGCTCTGATACTTCTCCTGCAACAACAACAAACATTCAGCTGTCAACAACAATAACACTGGCTTATACTGATGCAAATTAAAAAAACTGAAGGACAGCCATGTTTTTTATTATACTAGTCACTAGGCTACCAGACATTTGGTACAAAATTCAGGTGGGTTCAAAAGGCAGAGACCACTATAGTAAATGTTCTTATATTTAGCTTTTTTCCCCTAACTTAATACAATTATTTTTCATTAGAAATAACACATAATTATGATCAGTATTACAATCGGAGTATTGAAAAACTGTGAATTTGAGAATGTATTGGTATAAGGTGTCCCCCTTTTTGCTTTAATGACAACAGCAAAATCTGATGATAATTGTCCCTAGCATGACTGAATAGAAGCAAGAAAATCTGACTGTCTGTCCAAGAAAGTATACATGGTCACATCACAAATTGACCTATTTACCTATTGTCATTTCATTGTTTTATATTTTTAAAATCTTAAAACTTTATATAATGAAGATTATGAAGCATTAACTTTGAGATGACCAAATGCATGCATTGCATTAAAGTAAAATAAAGAAGGATTTTCTACACATAAATTCAGGTGTGGACTTACATTGCTGTGGATGGCTTTTTCCAGTAACGCTCTTCCACGACTGCCACAAACCTTGAGGTGAAAAGACATTTAAAAGTCGTTATTAGCTACTAAACATCCCTGTGCAAACCTATAGAAATATTTCAGTTCACTTCTATAGCGTTTTCTCAATATACCATTTCAAAGCAGCTTTCCAGAACTTTGAGCTTTCATACGCTTTATGAAAAACACAAAGGTGAATGTGGCCTAAAAAACAACTGATTGTTGATATATAATTATGAGTATTAATTCATGATTTATTTCAAATAGAGATCACGATTCTCCCACAATTCTGTACAGACAACTAAACAAAACAACATGTAACTTACTAGAGTCTCTGACTAAATATTAATTGCTGCAGTGTATTTAAAAATGCTTAATTAATTTGAATAAATTAATTTAACAAATCAGTTTGAATGAATGATTCATAAATATTTTTCATTACTGGATGATTCAGGGTTTTTGAATGAAACTCTTGAATGAATATGTTAATGCCAAATAAATTTTTTCACAGTCACTGGTCACCACCTAGTGGCGTAACAATGATAACATACAATCGTTATTTGAAGCACCAAGTTACTTTCAAAAGGTTATTTACTCTATTTTGATTGCTACCATAGGCACCACTGTTTATATCCGAACTATAAGTACTTCTGTGATCATTTGAATATTTGTAACACAGAAATAACGATACTGTGTGGTTAAAAAGACTGTCTATGATCATTTAAATGGAGTCATTCATAACTGAATGTGAAGAGACAAGATACGTTTTTTAATTTTTTTTACATATTAGACATAGAAACAAGAGTGAATGTGTGCATATTTTTAAATAAAATATTATTTGCAAAGAGTTTAAATGGATTACCTCACTACTAGGCTATAATTAGACCTGGGACAAATAATTAGACCTGGGACTTTTACCATTCTTATTTCTTGTTTATTCCCTTGCATCCCTTTTAATCCTTTATTTAATTTCTTTAAATAAATAAAAACCCATCCACCCCCCTAAAAAAACAAAAAAACGTTGACTCGATACGATTCTCAATACCAGCAGGAAATGACTGAGGTGCCCTTGAGCAAGACACCTAACCCCTAATCGCTCCCCAGGCGCCACAGCAAATGGCTGCCCACTGCTCTGGGTGTGTCACGGTTTGCAGTGTGTTTACTACTCACTGCTCCTAATGTGTGTGCACTAACTTGGATGGGTTAAATGCAGAGGACAAATTCTGAGTATGGGTTACCATACTTGGCCTTCATATGTCATTTTCACTTTAACTTGTCGAGAACGGCAGTAATGTAGTCTGCATGAAACCTATCATATGCACGGTACTTGTGTGGATGCTGTTTTGACCACGAAAGATGAGGTAATTTGATTGGATGTCATGTATTTATTGCATTTTACCTGCTAGAAATACATGCTCCGTTTTAATGTTATTTTAAGGTGGGGTAGAATTAAATGAACGGCAAAACTTCGCCTTTTGTTCACGTCCCCCTCTGTCACCTCACCTTTTTTGGGCTTTAAAATCTAAAGCCCTGTTTATACCTGGTATTAATTAAAATACATTTGTGTCAATCCGATCACAAGTGCATGAAGTTAAACAGGGTCTAAAATGTTTTGAGCTTATCCACTTTCGACCACTTCCAGAGGTAGTCGAAAACGGATTTGACCGGATTGCTATCGTAGTTTCGCTCATGTGGTCGAATGTGTTTGAAGAACCACAAAAGACCACCTACTCTCCGCCTACTGACCTAATGCGTAAACAAATGGGTATGTGTCTCCCTCGTCTACATAATAATCCAATCGATCAAAACGCATCTTAATACCAAGTGTAAACAGGGCCTACTCCCATTATAAAGCTTGGAAGAGCCAGGATATTTCTTAATATGGCCTAACTCGGATTGTGTTTGGCTGAAAGAAGAAAGTCATATACACCTAGGATGGATTGAAGGTGAATAAATTATAGGATAATTTTCATTTTTGGGTGAACTAGCCCTTCAACCCTAACCATACCACCAAACCTGTCCATAACCTTACCCGTATCCTCAATAGCAGCAAAAGTGTTTTGCATTACAACATGAACAGACAAACACACAAAAATGTTAGGTACAATGTACTTATGTAAGTACATACTAGCTAAAGACACCTATAACGTATGAAGGGATTGGGTACATACCAGAGGCTTGGGGGTTCCAGATTGTTTCCCTCCTGCAGTACATGAACTATCCAACAGCAAATTACTATGAGCTTCTTTAGTGCCCGTCACGACCACATTCACATCCTTAGTGAGGAAACTGTCTACTTTCTATACGAAACAATCAAAAGACAGAACGTGATTCACTATTTAACAACACTTTGCATATAGGGAAACCATTACAATTTCCTGCTTTGTCCTGTACAGATGAATGACAAAAATGATATCTCTCACCCCTCCCAGACGGATAATGATGTCAGTGAGTCTGGCAGACTGATGTCTCTTCACGTCATGCAGGTAGAAGGATTGGCTCCTCAGACCCCCAAACAGATCTCCTGTCATTTTTTTAACTGAAACAAGTTTATGAGTGTTTATATGCATGTTAGTTAATCTATGGGGGCCTTAAAAAATAACTGAATTGTTGTATTAAATTATTATTATTTACCCTATTTTGTTAGCAAACATTACTAGTCTTGTGGTGAAAAAATGTATACATGCAAGTTAATCCACAATTGAAAATTGTTTGTCTTCATAAGTAAGAAAAAACTTTATTAATCCCTGTAAGGGGAAACACATTCACCACCATTGCACATTACAGACACCACAAACAAATAAACATTAAAAAACAACAACAATCACTACAAGAAATTACACAATTTCATTAAACAACCTAACTGCATTCGGAATAAAAGACCTTCTAAATCGCTCTGTAGAACACCGAGGCATTACCAATCTTCCACTAAATGAGCTCCTAAGTCCACTAAAGGTACAATGTAGTGGATGACCTTTGTAACACATAATAATTTTTAATTTTGCCCTTGTTCTCTTTTCCACCATAATCTCAATCTAAACATTATTAAAATCTTAAAATTTGCTTTCCTCTCTGAAATGTTGTTTCCTGAAAATTTTATCGCAACTTCGGTTCACACAGACATTAAATAATAAAGGAATACATAATATTAGCGCTTGGCATTGACACAAATGTTATGATTCAATTCAATTTGATTCAATATAAATTAATTTAGACATATATCTGGTACAGTGCACGTCAAATTTCTCAAGTAAAAGAAATAAACTTTGCTTGTATATACAAAGATTTGTATACAAACATTTAAATTGTTATGATAATAACGTTATAATACATTTTAAACAACATAATTAGGCTACGTTTCTTGTCTACTCAAATTAATTTATTTAAAAAATAAACATTGAAATGGTAGCTGTCTTAAAACGTGTTAAAAATAACAAATATCATATATATCAAAATGCTCCTCTCTAGAGTTCATTTTTCTAGCTAACTAACAAGTTCATGGTATTTAATGTTTGAATTTCATTCATTGACAATTTGAAAGGATCAACTGCAAACAAGTCGATTCTTTGATTAAAAAAATCAACATTAGCTCATCAAAATGAGTAAATTAAAATGGAGAAATTGATATTTTTAAGCCAGCCCTACATAGTACATACATTAGCTGAAGTCTTCATTAACTAGGGGTGGGATACAATATCGCTACAATATTCTGATGGATTACAATCTACATTTGACCTAGATCCTAATATCGATCTTTTAATAGACTTTTATAGCTTGCACCTCCCAACATATTTTTATCAAATGTATCAATACATTTGATGGCAAGATGCCCAAAAGGCTGTATCTCGACGGTGGTGTATTAATGAATGTGTCTCCTTGTTATAAGCAAGCCTTGCCTTTTATTGTGATTGTGTTCGTGTGTCAATAATGATCAAATACACGTTGAACATTTTAGCATGTTATACAAAAAAAATGGTAATACATAGGGCACTTAATACCTGATAAATGGATAAAAAGAATAAGGATAAAATGTGGATATTATCATAAGGATATTATGATCGATTTCTTGAATTATTATGGAGTGAAACATTTGGACATTTGTACTGTTAAACACATTTTAAAAACGACAACATCCGGCGAGTGTAGTGATACAAGTAACGTATAAAACACAAAAGCGCTAACGTTAAACCTTTAAACACGAACTGATCGCATAAGGTTAGACAAAAAACACAAAAAAGAAAAATATTTACCTTACCTTGAAGTCCTTTGCTCATAATGAATAAAATTTTTTGTTTTTTAAAGTATTAAAACATCCTAAAATGTATAGTTTTCGAGCGTTACAAATATTACACGCAGTGTGATCTGTGAATCTTTTCAAACGGCCCTCCTGAATCTCTTCTTCGCTCGCTCTGTCTGCTGTAGCGCGCGATGGTTTCACGTTGCCGCCACCCACTGGCGTATACATTACAGTTGCTCCAAAAATTATTTGGAGCCGCTATATTTTTGACAGGAATGAAAACGAGGCTGTAAGGGGTAGCCCTTGCCGCGCAGTAAGTAATAATCACATCACGCTATTACTATTTTGAGATTTTTTTGTGTATTTTTTAAGTGAGGATCAAATACTATGACACTAACATGCTTTGTTGCCAAATTGTCTGTAGCCTATATTTTGTCATGTATTGTTTTTTTGTGACAAGTGACAACTATCCCTGATAGCACACGTTTTTTAGAGTGTTTGCTCATCTGCAATAGGACGTTTCCTGTCAGATGTGAAATAGACGTTTAGAAGATGTCTTTAAGATGTAATGATTTAGAATGTATGTTAAACTGACATCTTAAAGATGTTTATCAGATGTAACAGACATCTTGCAGACATACGTGTGCTATCTTTATTGTTATTTCTAGTTTTGTCTATCATGTATGATACCAAGGGTGATGTTTTTTTGTGAAATTTACATTTTGTTACACTGTGGTAATCGACACAAGAGATAGAAATGAATTAGGGCTTGGGGCAAAAATTCCACCATATGAATAAAACTGCCCCATCATGAGTAGGCCTACTTGTTTTTTGTATATCACAAGATCAACAGTTCTATATTCCTGAAGATCTGGATGATTGCAAATGTGATAATGATTTTATACAACAGTGAGTTTTAAACACAATATTGTGAATATTGATTGTTTTTGCTCTATTTCGCAATTTTTTTAAAATGTCCAAACAAAGGCACAGCAGAACAGTTGCTACTCCTAGCAACACAACAATGTTTTGATTGAATCCACAATTTGTGATGAAGGGGTTGAGTGATTGATTCAATGACTCATTTAGAAAGACCTTGGATGCGTCCGAAAACTTAGGCAGCTGACTTGTTGCCTCGTTGTCCTGTCAGGCAATGAATCTGCAGGCAGCATTTGTGCACGAAGGTAACGTTACCTCACGAAACTGATTCAGACTTCTGGGGCAACGTAATGGTTAAATTATCTACATTAAAATAGAGCAAGCTTTGGTGAAAACTAAGTGAATATTTAATGACTACAATAGCAATTTCTCGCTAGAAATGACATAAGTGAAAAACTTTTATCAAAAATGTACATTTACACACAAACTGATGACCAGCCGCAAATTTCAGACACCATCTTTATTTTTCTAGCTCAACTGTCACAGAATGGAAAGCACTGGATTGTGGAATATCAAAGGCAGCGAAGAATACTTCTATGCTGCCTTCAAAAATCGATCAGATGAAGGTATCTCAGGAGACAGGAAGTGAAACATTGCATTTGGACGTGCCTTGATGCCTTCCGACCTTGGAATGCGTCCTCCGAAGGCAGCATTTATCAGTTTTCTGACGCAGCCCTTCACTTGCATTGTTCCTGATTGAATCAGCTGTTTGAATTGTTGATTCAATGACTCGCAAACTTGTCACCACTGTTTTACTTTCATATTTAATGTATAATTTCATTTTATTCAATATATTCAGTGAGTCAATATAATATATATACAGTGAGTCGCTATATTCAAAATGTCAGATTTACAATCGGGGGTCGAGTGGCTGTTGCAAGTAACGGGTTGCGAGGCAGGCAATATAACGGTATCCAATATAACAGTATTACTAAGTAATCTAATTACTGTAATTTAATTACTTTTCCCTTGAAAAGTAAAGAAATTGATGAATTTTTCTGTAATTTAATCACAGTTACTTCTGATGTACCTACTTGCATTAAATACTGTATAGAACAATTCTATCTATAAAACAATAGTGGATTTAACATCAGAATTCAACATCTAATGTTAACATGTATGTTTTTAATGTAACCTTTTCCTTGTTTGTTTTCATTAGTCACATGTGTTCCTTTGTTGGAATTCCCTGCCACTCATCAGTTTCCATGGACACTAATGGTGTGTTCACGTGCTATGGAAAATATGATATTTTCCACTTGTGAACTGGTATTTACCAGTGTGTTGCGTTCAAGTGCTTTTGTTGTCGTAATGTGGTAAAAAGATGGAGATCCAGACCTGTTATTTAGCTAAAACTATTTTAGATTGCTTAAGTCATCTGCTACAGCAAGAAAATGATTTATCAAAACTCAAACGGTAAATAATATGCTGTATATTTTCTAGATCATGAATAGTACATATTTTTACCATTCACAACTCTTGCGTTGCTCTCCGCCATTTTGAAAAGGTCAAAGGTAATCTCATCTCGGCAACTCGTGCATCAAAATATTCTACGAGTTGCCCAGTGGAAAATACCACATGAGGGGGTGTTCATGTGCATTTTCCATGTCGGCTTTTGGTATTTACCATAATTACCATAGCACGTGAACGCACCATAATCATCATCATCACAGCTGTATGTCATTTAGTTCATCCCCTGTGTATGTTATGCCGCGTTCCAGGCAACCTGTAACCCATGTTTTTCCAACCTTATACCCGTGAAAGTGCACTGGAACGGCAGTCAAACCCGTGACTTACCACCCGTGAACTCGTACTAGATCTTTTTTTTTATTTTATTTTTTTATTTTTTATTAACTCGTACTAGATCGATGTACTCCCAGTTACGAGTTCTGACGTCACATAGCCCGCAAAACCATACAAAACAACAATGGCAGCCCCTACGGATGCAGTGTTTCTGCAGGCGGTACCAAGGGGGTAATCCATCGACCGGAAGTTGAAGCCGGCCGGGTGCCGCCATGTTGTAGCAGAACTTCACTTGCGTTAGCATTTCCATTGACTCCCATTCATTTTGGCGTCACTTTGACAGCGAATAACTTTACATCTGAGGCGTTTAAAGACTCCATTTGTCCATTATTTATTTCTAAAGAAACACGACAATGTATAAAGTGCTCCATTACCTTCTATGTTACATTATGGCCCCGTAGAAACAGTTTTAGTAAAAATAGGCTAACGATTGCGTCATAACCACTCGACTCTCTGTCGCGCTGTACAGAAATTACCGTACAGACAGGAGGAGAAGCTCGCAGGCAATCGGGGGGACGTCCCGTCAAGGGAGAAGCCCATAGATAATGAGTCCATAAAAGCAACGGAATACTTACTCCTGCTCACCCACGCCAAAGGACTCTTTGCTCAAGTTCCCCGTCTCTGCAAGATTGCCGTTGGCAATTTTCACGCACAGCTACTAGAAGAGTAACGTCTGTCAGACAGGTTGCTCACGTCATCAAGCTTAGTTTGAGTCGGTTTGAGTCTGCGCGTCAGGAACGGAAGTGCTCAGAAATCGCTAAAAATGGGCTTCAACTGTCTCAACTGAGTTCCAATGAGATGGCTCTGTCCATTTCTTATACTGTCTATGGGCGGTACACAGTGAGAATACACTTTAGGACAATATAACGTTGCAGTCAAATTAATAATAATATAATAATAATGATAATAATACACACAAGATTATGTATTACAATGTCATGTGTCTGAAACAATAAGTATGTACACTCACCGGCCACTTTATTAGGTACACCTGTCCAACTGCTCGTTAACACTTAATTTCTAAGCAGCCAATCACATGGCGGCAACTCAGTGCATTTAGGCATGTAGACATGGTCAAGACAATCTCCTGCAGTTCAAACCAAGCATCAGTATGGGGAAGAAAGTTGATTTGAGTGACTTTGAAAGTGGCATGATTGTTGGTGCCAGAAGGGCTGGTCTGAGTATTTCAGAAACTGCTAATCTACTGGGATTTTCACGCACAACCATCTCTAGGGTTTACAGAGAATGGTCCGAAAAAGAAAAAACATCCAGTGAGCGGCAGTTCTGTGGGCGGAAATGCCTTGTTGATGCCAGAGGTCAGAGGAGAATGGCCAGACTGGTTCGAGCTGATAGAAGGGCAACAGTGACTGAAATAACCACTCGTTACAACCGAGTTATGCAGCAAAGCATTTGTGAAGCCACAACACGCACAACCTTGAGGCGGATGGGCTACAACAGCAGAAGACTCCACCGGGTACCACTCATCTCCACTACAAATAGGAAAAAGAGGCTACAATTTGCAAGAGCTCACCAAAATTGAACAGTTGAAGACTGGAAAAATGTTGCCTGGTCTGATGAGTCTCGATTTCTGTTGAGACATTCAGATGTTAGAGTCAGAATTTGGCGTAAACAGAATGAGAACATGGAACCATCATGCCTTGTTACCACTGTGCAGGCTGGTGGTGGTGGTGTAATGGTGTGGGGGATGTTTTCCTGGCACACTTTAGGCCCCTTAGTGCCAATTGGGCATCGTTTAAATGCCACGGCCTACCTGAGCATTGTTTCTGACCATGTCCATCCCTTTATGGCCACCATGTACCCATCCTCTGATGGCTACTTCCACCATGTCACAAAGCTCTAATCATTTCAAATTGGTTTCTTGAACATGACAATGAGTTCACTGTACTAAAATGGCCTCCACAGTCACCAGATCTCAACCCAATAGAGCATCTTTGGGATGTGGTGGAACGGGAGATTCGCATCATGGATGTGCAGCCGACAAATCTGCGGCAACTGTGTGATGCCATCATGTCAATATGGACCAAACTCCCTGAGGAATGCTTCCAGCACCTTGTTGAATCTATGTCACGAAGAATTGAGGCAGTTCTGAAGGCAAAAGGGGGTCCAACCCGTTACTAGCATGGGGTACCTAATAAAGTGGCCGGTGAGTGTATATACACACACGATTATGTATTACAATGTTATGTGTCTGAAAAAATAAGTATGTATATTGCGCTCAGGTAGTTTGGCGTGACTGGCCTGGAATGCTACAAAGTCGTGAGTCGTGGTTTGAAGTCGGGATTTAAGTGCTCAAAAACCTGCCTGGAACGCAGCATTAGTTCCTCACCTTCACTCAGTGTTTGTCTGGTCTATGTTAGCATTAGTGTTAGCTGTTTGTTTTAAGCCATCTGTGGATTATTACCTTTTGGTAGTGATGGGAAACCGAGGCTTTCTGAAGCATTTGAGGCTTTCATCAAATTGTGCCGAAAAAACTTTCATTAGCCTACTCGAAGTTTGTAACACAATGCGCATTAGTGACATCTGGGTGGTCACACTTGTTTTCTCCACCATATCTAACAAATCACTGCAGAGCAGAAAAAGCATGTGACCAAGCAAAGCTTCGGAAGTCTGTGACATAAAAGTGTGGGATCAATACAGATCTCATCTAAATTCATTTGTGCCAATGAGACCACAACTCGTGTCAAGTGTTGCCTGGTCAACGGATTCACATATTGTATATAATAATATAAGTTATAGTAATTGTAATTGTAATTAATAAATATTTGGGGTTTAAAAAAAATATTAATAATGTTATAGGGAAGTGTAGTGTTAAATCATTTAAATAATGCCTCCTCCATAATAATTTCCCTTTTTATGCATCAGGTGGGGTTGTGAAGCGCCAATTTTTTTTTTAAACCCGCTGTCCCGACCTTCCGATACTGCATGGCGTTCGAAGCTTCAAACGTCATCAATCACGTGGTACTGTCATTTCGATACAAGCATGTGTGATACAATAGTGCTTTGAAAACTGCGTCGGAGCATCGGAGCCCCGGTATCAACCGTCCCATCACTACCTTTTGGATTTTTTATTAAACTCTGTGTTTTAAATCATCATATTCTTCTCCTTCTTCATCGTCTGCCTGCACCTTGCTGACATAAGACCGGAGCCAAATATGGAATACGCTGCAAAATTTGCTGCGGTGGCTCAGATGAACTATTCTGTCGTCTTGCTGTCACCTTCCCCTACGACGACGAGACCCTCAAATCGCTGTTCTGGATCGGGGCCAACTACCACAACCCTGTAGCCTGGAGAGTGTCTGTCCCCGATCCAGGACACAGCCAGACCCTGATCCCAGCCCACCACCCTCGACCGCAGAGACTTCACGAGAGCCCCCTGCAAACGCAGAGCAACCCCCCGCCGCAATGCGTGAGCCAGAGCCCAAAGAGGAAGGGACATCGCCGACCATCGGTACCCCAGGAGTGAGTCTGATCAGGGGTATGAGCCAGCGACAGCAGCAATAGAGGGAATACTGGTGGATTCGGACATGGGGGACTGGCTGATGGATTTGAAAAGAGATACTGCCTCCCACCCTATTCCACCTGGTATCATCTGTCTGTTCTAAATCATCGCTGTTTCAAGACAGCACTGAAACTTGTATGGACTGCGAAACATTTGTTTGCTCGTCACCATTGCTGTTGCAAGACCGCAGTAAGACCGTATCATTCATCGACCTGCTGGGAATTGGAATTACCATTATTGATCACGTCAAATATACCTCGGTCACCTTCACTGCAAAGATCAGCCAGTCCTCCAGCCCCGCCTCTGCTGGATGCCTGCAGCTCTTTGCCTTCCACAGTGATGCCTTGCTGCGACGTGAAGCCGCAGGTCGTGCAACCACCAGCCTCACACGAGCGAGAGGATCCTGTGGCTCCACCTCGGCCCGTCGACTTTCAGCTCCACCAGAGACCCTCGACCTTACGGCTCCACCAGGTTCTCTCGTCCCTCCGGCTTCATCTTGGTCAGTCGTCATTCTGCCTATGCCACGGACTTGCGAGCCTTCCCCTGCGCTCAGTCTCTCCACCCCTACGGCTACATTTCTCAGCGAGCCTTGCGAGCCTTCCCCTGCGCTCAGTCTCTCCACCCCTACGGCTACAGCGGGTTCCTCCTTCCTTCACTCTGTCTCCACTTCAGATACTATTCACCGCAGCTTCACCTAGGTCTCCAGTACTAGCTGTGTTACTCAAGTCTATCGGCTCTCCGTCTGCGCCCTGGGATCCATCGGCTCCTTCTTCGTCGGTCGTCACATGGATGTCGTCAGCCACAGCAACGCCTTGGCTCCTCTCTCCCTCGACTCCACCGTGGGCTGTCATCCCTGCTGTGCTCTGGGTCTGCGTAAGTGGACATCATCCAGCTTCGCTGCGGGGGTTTCATCGTCCTCCCATCACCATCCCTTCATCCACCTCCTAAGCTTCCCCCTTCTCATCTCCACGCTGTGAGGTCATGCCTTCCAGGAGGCGTGTTCTGTCACTTGTGTTCATTATTAGTTTAGTTTTCATGGACTTTGTTTGTTTTCATTAGTCACGTGTTCCTTTGTTTGAATTTCCCGCCACTCATTAGTATATGGACACTAATCATCATCACAGCTGTTTGTCATTTTCCTCACCATGTGTATATTAGTTCCTCACCTTCACTCAGTGTTTGTCCGTCCGGTCTACGTTTATGTTAGCATCAGTGTATGTTCTAAGCCATCTGTGGATTACCTTTTGGATTTTTACTAAACTCTGTGTTTATCATCATCTTCTCATCTTCTGCTGCTTCATCGTCTGCCTGCACCTTGCTGACAATAGACCTATTGTTTATTTGAAGGAATTAAGAGTGCAGTTTTGTTTTTATCCTTGTATTGTTCAACTGGTTGAAGTTGATATGGGATTTAGAACGTATAAGTAATCCAATGCTTTTTAGAGTAATTAGTACAGTAATCTAATTATACAGAATATGTAACTAGCAAATGAGAATCGCTAAAATGATTGAATATATTTTGAGACAAAGGCCATGTTAATGATTTTTTTCAAGATAAAGCTACAGTTTTTTAATAACATGGTTAGATTCAGATGGTAAATATATATCAAGTTGGGTGTCCACCTATTTAAAAAATATGATATTACCGGTAATCATATAATAAAATATAATGTATTGTTACCACTGTAAATCTATATTAAATTATCATGGGATCTCCTTCAGTGCTTTCAGAATCTTTGCTTTTTAAAATAATTTTGTTTCTGTATTTTTAATACAATAACATATTTTAATGACAGTAAATTTAATGAACAAAAATGTTTTTTTTTTAATCAAAAATAAATAGAAAATAGTACAAACTTTGCTAAAGTGATTGTTTTAAACAAGTATTAAGTTAGACATTATTAAAAAACATTATTTTAGCTAAATAATGTGTAATACTGTGTGCCTGTTGCCCCATGCTGTTGAGCCTTTTACCCCATGATCCATACCCACATTTATGATTTATTTTCACAGAAATCTGTTGCTCCATAAATGTTCAATATAATTATCATACACGATCGGGTTAGGGTGTGGGGGCTGGACGTCAAGCTCCACCCATTGGTTCTCCCATAGGGGAGTGGCTGTGCAACAGTGCAACTGTACTTAGAAAATCTCCGAAATATTATTATTTTGCTGTAGAATCAGACATTACCACGATTTTGAGTTACTTATCCAGTTATATCCATCGCAATGTTGTCATAAAAAATATGTGACAGAATGATCAGATTTATTCAATGAAACATAATTGAGCAATGCATGTAGGCTACATACAATACAAAATAATACATTAGTGCCCCATATGTCCCTGATTAATAGGTCAGAGAGCTGCTGAAGTAATGAACGGCAGTCTTCCTCTCCATCCGCTTCCGCGAAATATGATCTCATTAAATATTTTTCCTTTAATAGGCGACATTTCTCCACCATTTTTATCAATAACATGAAAAATAAATACAGTAAACAATTGATGACTGCTATAAAATAATACTGAACCTGACGAAAAGGAAAAAAGTGCCCGCAAGGAACATCCCAGTTTAGGATCTTCCACGTTTACACATCCGAACTCCTCCTACAAGAGCCCACAACTCACTGTCGAGCCCTCACAAGCCTCACTCACAGCCTACACTTCCCTTAAAATGCTACAGAGGATTGTTTTGAGTTTATTGCTGGCGACGTGGTTCTATGTGGACTGTAATCCAGGGCCGATCGATGATATTGCAGTTGATCGATATTTCATTCCCGAGCCGTGCGTCAGAGAAGTGAAATCCGGAGATTTCGTGCGGTATCACTATAACGGCACTTTTACTGATGGAAAACGGTTCGACTCTAGGTGAGATGATTCAGCCAAGTTCTTTGCATCTTGCACATTACAATTTCACTTTTACTTTTTGCTTTTGTCATTAACTAAGCTAGGCATTGGGTTTGGTTTTCAATGTACCATGATTGTCTGGACATGCACCATTATGCTTTTTTTGTAATATTGTAAAAATAGGCTACTTCATGATATTCTTTTAAGCATCTTTTGTAGTATTATGCAAATACTAGGTTTGTTAAAGATGGTTTACTCAAGTCTATTTAGTTAAAACTATATTGCATATTATTATGGCTGTCTCAGACACTGGTGAGCTTCATTCATACAGCTTTTTTGGTAATTATGGTGTATCATACGTGGACAAAAAAAAAAAAAAATCCTTGGTTTTGGGCCTCCTCAGCCTCATGCATCTTTTCAAACTTAAATACATACAACTACTCCAATTATAAATTCCAGGATTTAATACATGATAGACATTGCAGCAATTTTTCCTGTAAGCTGCTTTGAAATGGTGTAGAGGTACATTGTCAAAAGAGCTATTTAAATAAAACAGGTTGTGTCAATATGCTTGTGTAAATACCCTTGATTGGTATTTCGTGATTTACATAGTGTGTGTTTGTTTATGTGCTGCATGTCCCTTTGAGAATACATATAATGTAAGGTGATTTTCTCTTTTACTGCAGCTTTGATAAGGGGGCTGCATTCTTTGGACAGGTGGGCCATAAGTGGCAGATTGCTGGTGTGGACAAGGGCATTCTGGGTATGTGTGTGAATGAGCGCCGGAGGATCACTGTACCCCCCCACCTGACCTACAGTAGCCAAGCAGCAGGTAATATACCCAAAAACACCTTTTACATTGATAAAATGTACTAGTTAATTTCTTGAAATTGTAAAGCAACCCAAAAAACTACTTGGACACACAAGTCTTACACACAGCCTTACAAATGTTTGGGACTGCCCATTAGATATCAAAGCAAGTGTGTTCAAGCAAATGATGCTAAAACTCCTGTATTTTCACTTCTTTCTTCTTTTTGTGTAACGCTTATTAAAATAATTGACATTTGGTACCCCCTGAGATTTTAAGTTAATATTTCAATAACTTTTAGTGACACATTTGCACGTTCACAGTTCTCTGATGTCGGTTAATGGTCTCATTACAAGCAAATAAATAGATACAATTTTTAATCTTTTATTGTTTTATTTGGACTTTATTGCTGGTCGTCTTTTAAGTGTTATAGTGTATGTAGTGTATACACTATAATTACATTCAGTACATCATGTATATGTGTATACATCTAAGTGTATACACTATACATTACATTCACACTGGTGTTTTAGGAACCTAATCAAATGTAATAACAATTATTATTATGTTTTAACTCCAATTACCAAATGAATACAGAAATATATTACTGTTGTAAATTACAATTGTACTGTGAAATATATATTTTAAAATATTTGATCATTATAATAATATTGAATTGAATTTTACACTACATGTTACAAAACAAACTTTTATGTCTTACGTTTTTTACTTTCAAAATTTCAAAGCCTTGAGCTTTAAACAATCCTTTTATTAAGGTGGAATACTACTAAAATGCTGTAAACTGCCCACATAAAGGTTGGAAATTATGCATATGTGTAAATAAATTGAACCTAGCATACATTGTATTCCCAAATAAATGTTAAATTCGCAGCACATGCAGAGAGTTTGCTGCATTTGCAGTGAACAGAGAAGCTCTCAGATGCTGAATACACCTGACCACTAGCTACTCACAAAGGCACATCAGATCAGACTATAGCATTTTTTTAATTAAATCGCAGCCTTTGATTTGATTATTGCCCTAAACAATATCACAACTTCCATGCAGCCCCATTTATTTATTTAAATTTTTCATTGGATATAAATATAATTATTAGTTTTTATCAACTCACAAACCCCCAAAGGTTCGCAAACCACCGTTCAGAAAGTTATGAACCACTAGCATTTGCGATCACTGAAATATGTATTCCTTCTGTGGTGTTTTAGGTGGTACAGTGCCGCCGGACACAACATTAGTGTTTGATCTGGTTCTACTAGACATCTTTAACAGGGCAGACCAGGTTCAGACCAAAGTCATCAGTACACCTAAAGACTGCAAGCGCTCAGTCATGAGGACTGACTTTGTGCGTTTTCACTTTAATGCGTCATTGCTGGATGGCACTGTGTTTGACTCCAGGTTAGTGCTACTTTATGTCACAGTTACCTCAAATAATAATGATTGTTTTCAAACAAGTTTCCTGAACGCTCCTGTCCTAAACTCACACTCTTCACTGAGCGATGTTTTGTTAGTACAACCCCCAGCCAACAGGGAACGTTCTCAGAACTCTCGCAAGGTTCTAGTAAAAAAGTAAATCTGGTATTTAATAAGGTTCTCAAAAATTTAAAATGGAACGATTTGCCTAAAACATTAAAGGTGAACTAAGTAACTTTTTTACCTTAACCGAACAGCTTTGGAGTCATTGTAATGTTTATTACTGATTTCGTGTTGAATGGTGGTCGTCTCGCACCCCCCTGGTGCCTGTGAGCCACAAAACCACCCTTGCAACTTTGGGCCGGCGGGCCGTGTGATATCAGGTCTCGCGAGGTAACAAATTGCTTTACGGCATAAAACAGATCTGATAAAATGAGCATCAAACAGAAATAATCCGGCGCCATATACATGTGGTGTTCGAGGCGCACATACAATACAGACTGCCGACAGTTAAACAGGGCGCTCGCAGCTCTTAAAGGGGCCATACCTTATTTCCACTCGTTACAGCGTCCATCCTACTGAACAGGTACCGGTGTACAGGGGGAGGGGATCCGGCCGTGAGTGCGAGCCATCTCTGCGTGAGTGCTATTCACGACAGTACAAGTACTCCACAGCGACTCTAGGGGTCGCTGTTTGACAAAAACGGAATTCCTACTTAGTGCTGCTTTAAGTTGGGTGTTAGCCCAACATTTTTTTAAATGTTACTACTTGTTTCAGAATGTTTAGAGAACATTCAAATGTCACGTTCCCTTTATGTTTCCCTAACGTTTGCATAACTAAGCAAAAAAACATATTTAAAACATTTTAAAAAACTGGAAGTTTTGATTGTTCAGAGAACATTCAGAAATAATGTTTTCATAATTTAATAGGAACGTTAGCAAAACGTTCTTAGAACATTTTTTGTTCGGTGGATAGAGCCACAGGGTTTAAGGTCCAAAATGTCCGTATGCGTTTTTTCGTATTCGTCTGAATTGTCAAAACACCTCTCAAAATGCTTGCTACGGATGCGAAAAACGCAGAAAATCGAACCCAATCAGAATTTTTTTATGATGAATGAAAGCTTCAGAGGCAGAGTATAAACGTGATTGACACAACGTGAGTATTTATTTTTTTACATGCGAGAATTTCGGACTCTGTGTGCAAGGACCTTTACACTTTTCTTGCAAATTACCTTACATATGGCTTAGTTAGCTGTAGTGGTCTTTGTACATTAAACTGGCATAAGAGAATGTATTTTAACATTTAGAAACTCAAGTATCTATAGTGGACACACGTCATACATCAGATGTACCCAGTGTGAAGTGAACTGTTGCACAGATGTATGTAGACTAATCTTATATGAGCATCTTGCAGCTACAAGCGTTCCCAGACGCAGGATTCAGTGGTTGGAGAAGGTTTGCTCATAAAAGGCTTGGATGAAGGGTTACTGGGCATGTGTGTGGGAGAAATACGACACTTCATCATCCCCCCATTTCTGGCATTTGGAGAAAAAGGATATGGTAAGCAAGCAAATCATTTGCATGTGTATATAAAGAACATCCTATTATTGATCAATTATAGATTTTAATTAAAGGTGCTATATGTATTTTTTAGCGGCATCTATCGGTGATGTTTCAGATTGCAACCAATTTTTACAAGAGCGCTTGTGGCGTGCTCTTGCGCGTGCTCGAACACAAGAGCGAGCACTCATGGTACCGGCCACACTGAGACTTTCAACACACCGGAGAAAGCATCACACAACATGCTGGAAACACATGTAAACTCCCACTGCAACGTTACAATAATAGGCTACTTTTATCAGCTTGACGTTGAACTAATGCTCCATGCTCGTACCATGATAACGTTACATTGACTGCATTTAGCCGACATGTGGTGTTTCACAAACTATTCGTGTATCTTTCACAATCAGCAATCTGTCAACATAGGTGAATGTATAATATGATAACGGAAACGGTTAGTGAACTAGACTGAACAATTTCAGTGTAACAGTAAGATCGTAGGAAGTAACATTAGTGTACTGAACGTGTCTGGAAATGTGTATTATAAACAATATGATAGTAGTGGGATGAGTGACGTTAGACAGTAGATCTAGTACATCAAATAAAAGTTACATCCTAAAGCACCTACTTTTTGTTATCCTGGAACAGTCTTTTGTATTCATTTCATGTCTCATGTATGTTGTAGTTTACCTTGCCATTTCATTACAGTTTACCATTATTTATTTCAGCATATCTGAAAACTTGTAATTTATCACAATAAAAATAGCGGAGGTCTCTCCATAATTCAAACGCTCTGCCGATGTTGATCCGTGTTTTCGTCCTAAGTCGATCCGATTCACGTTTGGCCTGACGAGCTTCAGCAGATACATTTTTGTTTTGTTTAGTTTTTTATATTAATGTGGAGTTAGGGTTGGAGTGTGTGTTGTGCTGGAGGCAGGTCGTTGTTTGGTGTTATCGGACTCCATGTCGTTAGCTGCAGTGCCGTCGCATAGACTGTATATAAAAAGGAGAGAGGCTCGGGAGCGCGCATGCACGTCACATCCGATGGATTTCGCAGAAAATCCGACCCGGAGACTTCACATAGAAATAGGAATACTGGCCTTCAGAGGTAATAGCAAAACCCGACAAGTGGATCATTGTAATGTGTGATTACAACCCCTTCACACACAGGCAATAAAAAAAGGATTAATTTTAGAAGAAAAGTTACATTTAGCACCTTTAAAATCTTGGAAATGGTTCCATTCTTTAATGTTGGACTTTTCACACTAATTGTGTCAATGTAAATCTGTTTTATCTTGTTCCATGTTTCACACTGTTCATGCCTTTATTTGAGTTATTCCTGGGTAATGGGGTTTCCAGATTTCACACGGCACATTCGTAAACCCTGGGTTCTTATTCGTTTATTAACAAGATGGATAACATTACAAAAAAATATGATTACAAAACGCAACCTGTTTTAGTAACTGCTTATGACTGGAATACACTACAAGACTTCAGACTGTGATTCAGTCAGAGGATTTCAAAAGATATTTTTAACCGATTTAAAACACATTTTGATTGACTACTTGCACACTGAGGTACAAATATAAATAGTATCCAACATTATTTGTACTTGGTGTAAATAGTATTTATCGATATTGTACTTGGTGTAAATAGCCTCTGCCTTTTATGTCTGGTTCTCAAACCCTTAAAATGGTAAAATGGGTTCCACACACTTGTTTTCAGTACTGCAACAGACTAGAAATTGAAATCCAAACAACTAACAGCCAAAAACCTTCATTTCACACTGGGACTTTTTGACTGGGAAACTCAAATAGATAAAGAAACAGAATTTTCCCAGGGTGATTTAAAAAATCAAGAAGAAATAAATAGTTTAAACTGTTTCAAGCAGTTTAAAAAACGAGTGCCGGTCAAATGGACCCACAACACAACATGAGGGTTCAACAACTTCTCTTTCTGACTTTTCATCCTTTTTTTTTCATCCTTGCGTCTCTCTCTTTTTCCCTCAGGCACAGATGTCCCTCCTCACGCATCAGTAGTGTATCACATTCTCCTGGAAGACCTCCACAACCCTAAAGATGACATCATTGTGGAGTTCAAGAAGGCGCCTGAACCATGTGCACGCAAATCTGTTGCAGGCGACTACATCCGCTACCACTACAATGCCTCCTTCCTCAACGGCATCACGTTTGACTCCAGGTTTATTTCCTCACTTTTTTTTTCAAATTTGATTTGCTTCCTTGTTGGTTTTGCAGTAGATGTAGATTCTGATGTATTACCTCTAATATCACAGTTATCAGCACAACAAGACGTACAACACGTACATTGGACTGGGCTACATGATCGCAGGCATAGATAAAGGCTTGCAGGGTGTGTGTACAGGAGAGAGGAGAAGAATCATCTTGCCGCCTCACCTTGCGTATGGCCAGCAGGGGGCAGGTTAGATGATCTTAATGCATTTAAAGGACTAGTTTGCCAATGAAAGTGGAGCGAAAGTGTGCCTTAAAGGGTTAGTTCACCCAAAAATGAAAATTATGTCATTAATGACTCACCCTCATGTCGTTCAAGGCTAGTAAGACCTCCGTTCATCTTCGGAACACAGTTTAAGATATTTTAGATTTAGTCTGAGAGCTTTCTGTCCCTCCATTGAAAATGTATGTACGATATACTGTCCTTGTCCAGAAAGGAAATAAAGACATCATCAAAGTAGTCCATGTGACATCAGTGGGTTAGTTAGAATGTTTTGAAGCATCGAAAATACATTTTGGTCCAAAAATAACAAAAACTACGACTTTATTCAGCATTGTATTCTCTTCCAGTTCTGTTGTCAATCCGCGTTCAGTGACGCTGCTGACGTAAGACTCTGCTGACGTGTTATCTGGTGCGTCCGTGTATTCGGGTTCAAATAAATATGGCTGGGCAAAAAAATGCAAGTCTTCCTTTGTGTCGAAATCCTTAGACATGTTGACAACAGAACTGGAAGAGAATACAATGCTGAATAAAGTCGTAGTTTTTGTTATTTTTGGACCAAAATGTATTTTCGATGCTTCAAAACATTCTAACTAACCCACTGATGTCACATGGACTACTTTGATGATGTCTTTATTTCCTTTCTGGACAAGGACAGTATATTGTACATACATTTTCAATGGAGGGACAAAAAGCTCTCGGACTAAATCTAAAATATCTTAAACTGTGTTCCGAAGATGAACGGAGGTCTTACGGGCTTGGAACGACATGAGGGTGAGTCATTAATGACATAATTTTCATTTTTGGGTGAACTAACCCTTTAAAGGTGCATTTCGAAGTTTGGTGCTAATTTAAAAAGTTTTAAATATTAATATCAATAAAAAAAAAATTGTGTGTGTGAAGACAGTGGTGTACACCAGGGTTAGAAATTTCCTTTTCATTAATGGCCAATATTTGTTCCCTGCATTTTTTTTTTTTTTTTTACCTTTGTAAGGGCAATTTTTATAATTAAATGTAACTGCTATATTTTATGTAAAATCCTTCAATTTAAACAATTACTTCAGAACCAATCAATCAATCAATCAGAATACTAGTTACCAATTAAGTTTTATCAATCAACATCAGCCATCTTTACACTGCAAAGGTGGAACAGAGGCTGCATCTGACAGCATTTATGTTTATGTGCACGGACTGTTTAATACTGTTCAAAGGCGGCATACATGTATTCACACAATTCGATAATGTAAATACCTTATTATGTAAGGCAGAGTAAGTATTATGACAAATTATTATTGTCAATTAGTGCTCTATTATAATAATGATTATTTTATGTAGATTAAAAGAATACATTTAAACTTTTGGGGAAAGAACATGTCATATTCTGTCTATACAGTAAAAAAAAAAAGCTATGATCTGTCTATGAATTAGTTCATTGCTTTTTACTCATTAGAAAATCAATTATATGTAAGTGTGAACTCGTGAATCAAAGAAGCTGCAAAACAAATCTTTTGCTGACATCGTATCTGCTCTTTGTTTATGATGAGAGAATTCAAGAGAGTGCCGATTCAAAATTCTGTCAGTGATAATGTTCACTGACATATAACTTTGCCGTTTTCAGCGTTGACTAATCTGAACGCCTCTGATTGGCTATTGCATTGATAAGCTCAACATTAACCTTTGTGATTGGTTGTAATGCTCAAGGTGTAAAATAAATCTAATGCAACGTGAGCAGATCTAATCAAATCAACACTTTTCATTAATTTTTACTTTAATTGTGATTGTATCAGCTGTAATAGATTTAGTTTAATTGTGTGGGGACTTTTTTCCCCCCCTCATTATCTTGAATTTGGTGAGAGATTTTGTTAAATTTTGGTGGCATTTTTACCCCAAAGCCACCAATAATTTCTGGCCCTGGTATATACCCACATAAGATGACGACTGTATAATTGTATATAAAAAAGTGTTTTAATAATGTATAGTGTGGGTCATCATTGACGTGGCCCACTGTTTCATTAAAGGTTTGGAGAGAATCCTCACACTCATTGGCTGCCATTTTTGTAGATACACTAGTAGCCTAAACAAATATTAATAATATAATTTTTTTAGAATATATAATAATATTATAAAATAATATTCACGAAAAGTGAATATTAGACAATGGAACACATTTATTTTCGTGCTTTACCACGAAGACAGTGAAGACAACAGGAGAATCAGCACCTCTACGTCCAAAGAAACAGAAAAGGTCTAAAGCCAAAAAGACGGACAAAGACAAAAACAAAAAAAACAGAAGCGCTAGAATCCTTGTGTGCGTTTCAAAATTATAGTAGTATATAAGTATATAAATAAATAATTAAACCACCAGAGTGCAGGATCCACCTCAATGATGCGACAGCAACCGTACTGCGTCAGAACGCCCATCTCACGCACCACCTTATTGGTGGAGAGGAAACCAAGGGATGAAGCCAGTTAGTAGATGTAGGGATGTTTGGAGGTCTCCCATATAGGTGCTGATCAGGCTCAGCCCTGCTTTTCTTCTGTAGGCGACTAGGCGAGAGTTGCAGAGTGAAGATAGATACTGGTAATTCATTCAAAATGTGAATATGCAGTAAGTGACGCTCTGTTTTGCCCAGGTAAGGACATCCCAGGTTCGGCCGTGTTGGTCTTTGACATCCATGTCATAGACTTCCACAATGTCAAAGATCCTGTGCAGGTGGAGATCATGAATAAATCTACAGGGTGTAATGAAACCAGTGAGGTGAATGACTTCATTCAGTACCACTACAACTGCTCACTGCTGGACGGCACATTGCTCTTTACATCGTGAGTTCCTATCTATCTATCTTCAATATTTATTCAAATATTCATGTTTTTGAAGTGAATTCATAAAAACACAATGTGCTAATGGTTTTGTGATTTGTTTGTTGATCTTCGATCATTGTAGGAGCGACTATGAGGCCCCACAGGATGTCCTGCTTGGAGGGGGTAAAATAATTGATGGCCTGGATGAGGCCCTTAGGAACATGTGTGTGGGAGAGAGACGGACAGTTCTAGTGCCGCCACACCTTGGACATGGAGAGAAAGGAGGTGTGTCTTATCTTGTGTGTCTATAGCCCCTTTGGTTCATTCACACTGCCAGTGATTTTCCCGGAATCTGTGAGTGCGTTCACACACATCCCGTAAAGATCTTGGAGACACCCCTCGCTCCAGCCTGTAGCACAATGACGTAGCTGGATGGTCCAATACGTAGTGGATGGAGGTGTGTTTTGGTGACGTCATAGCAGTACCGATCTCTGGGTTATGCGCAGTACCGATCTCTGGGTTATAATTCGCATGTGCTGGTCTTAAGTGACATGTATGCTCAATATTGTACTGAGATGATGTTCTAACCTGTGTAGTAGTAGTACTGTTAAATAGTTATAAGTAATTATTGATGAATAAGTAATTATGTACATAAATGGGATGCTTAAGTTAACCGAGTTTCTCTCTACACTAGGCTACATGCAAAATAGTTAATTTTACAACATTTTAAATCACATGATTTTAAACCAAAATTTGATAGATTAATAGCATGTCCTCACCGCAAGTAGAACATTTTAAAATAAAGCCATTTTATTTTATTCAGGTCATATTTGCTGTTGAGTGGAAGCAAAAACGAGTCAAGTAGCCAATTGTCTCTGTAATTTTAAAGGTACAATACAATAAGGTCTGTAAACATCTTAAAATACCAGTACACATTCAATGGAAAATGCAAAAATAATAACAGCATCAAGAAAAATAAATCTTGTCAGATGTAAAAAAAGAAAAAAAAGAAAAAAGAAGTGCTTAATGATATTTTGCCTGGTAAGAGTTCCTTCTTTAATGGCTATACTAATTTTTCCACAGTGATCTGTAGCATAAGGTTCCTCTTAATTTGCTGTTCAGTATCTGCAAGACATGTCTATGGTATGGAAGCTTGTTTTCACCACAGAGTGAGAAATAAAAAAGGTAATGGCGACTTTTTATCTCACTATTTTGACTTTTTATCTCAGAATTTATATAAAGTCGTAATTGCAGGTTATAAAGTCAGAATTGCGTGATATAAAGTCGCAATTGTGTGTTATTAAGTCAGAATTATGAGATATAAACTCGCAATTGCGAGAAATATAGGCTACTTGAAATTCTGACTTTTTTTCAGAATTGCATTATATCTCGCAATTCTGACTTTATAATAGCCTACGCAATTGGGAGATATAAAGTCAGATTTGCATGATAAAGTCCCAATTGCGTGTTATAAAGTCAGAATTGTGAGATATTTTTCTCTTAGAATTTGACTTTTATAAATCGCAATTGTGAGTTTATATCTCACAATTCTGAGAAAAGAAGTCGCAATTAGGCCTATGTGTTATAAATTCAGAATTGCGAGAAAAAAGGTCAGAATTCTGACTTTATAAAACGCAATTGGGAGATATAAAGTCAGAACTGCATGATATAAAGTCGCAATTGCGTGTTATAAAGTCAGAATTGTGAGATATTAAACTATTCTGAGGTAAAAAAAATCATTTTTTCCCTTAGAATTTGACTTTACAACTCGCAATTGCGAGTTTATGTCTCACAATTCTGAGAAATAAAGCCAGTATGTGAGATGTAAACTCACAATTGTAAGAAAAAGTCGCAATTATTTTTTTAAATGTTTTATTCTGTGGCGGAAAAGAGCTTCCATACTCAAGTGACCATTTATATTTAACTTTATTCTTCTTGGAAGATCAAAGCACTTGCGATTGTTCACCAACTCTCTACTAGTAACTCTCTTCTCAATGGGCCCTATCTTGCACCCGGCGCAAATGACTTTGTACACTGATGCATGTATAATTCCTATTTTGCACCCTCGCAAAGCGGGCTTATCCATCCACAGACACACGTCGGTAAACTAGGAAATGAACTTAAGCTCCCTGGGCGGGTCGGCGCAAAAAGGAGGCGTGTTTCGGCGCAAACATTCCCTAGTGCTATTTTGCAGTTCCAGAAAACATTTCGCGCTTGGTAAATCCGCCATTATAATAGCAATCCGCCATGCAACATGCGCACCTGCTCTTAAAGGGTATGTCGGATGACGCTCTGATTGGTTTGTTTCACGTTACGCCCAAACCACACCTATGAATAATGAAGCTATTTCAGACCAATCCCTTTTAAACTTCATTCAAAGAGTCATTTATCCCGCCGGTTAAATAGCAACAGCGCCCAAGACCCGCCCACAAAGTTACTTGCGCTTCGCGCTTGATACTTGCGTTTCAGATCGTTAAAATAGGGCCCTCTAACTCTCTACACCTACTCTAACTATAGAATTGTGAATGCCATCAGCGTTTATCACAGGTTCTCGTTTAAAGTCTGTTTAGAGAGAACGGTGTCGTCATAGCTAGCGGCCCCTAATTTAATAACAAATGATAATTCCGACGGAAGTGAATCAACCAAAACTAACTTTAGCTGGAAAATAACATTATTCAAGAACCGCTATAAAGCCAAAACAATCTCTGTTACCTTAAATTATATGTTTATCTCTGTAAAGCTGCTTTGAAACAATCTACATTGTTAAAAGCGTTATAAATGAAGATGACTTGACTTGACTAGTGCACATGCATATATGACGTCACCAAAACACACTGCTTCATTCCAGTATGCAGACATTTTTTCGTTCTTTCTTTGTTGATGACGAACACAAACTTTCTTCTTAGAGCAATAGAGTCGCACGATAACTACGCCATTGCGATGGCACGTGCGTCATCACTACGACACACCCCTTACGGGCCCACACAGGGCGCGTTCCGGGACTGATCCCGGCAATGTTACTAGGTCCCCATCCCAGCATCGATCCCGGGAGGTGTTTGCGTTCACACAGAAGGCACTCTAGCAATTTTACGGCAATTTCCCGAAATTAACGCGCTGTGTGAAAGGGGCTTATGTCGTACTCTAATGTAAGCCGGTGTTGACCGACTACCTTTGCAAATAGGAACAATGCCACTTTAACACTAGCTCAGGCCACCATGTGCTGTGACACATTGTAAAAGTCAGTGTTGACAGGCTCAGTGACAAGGGAGCTAAATTGTATCTGTATGAAATAAGGTTAAATACTTGACACTGTAAAAATGGGAGCGGGCTATGACAATGCGCCACATGCGTCCATAATGGGAACACCATGTGCTGATGAGTAAATGACACATAACAGCTTAACTTGATAAACTTGAGAAGGGTGTATATGAAAGAGAAGGACGCCCCATCAGAGATGTAGGGTAATATGCTTGTTGAGACTTGTTGGTTGCAAGTGAGCTTGCACACTATATAGATAGTGCAAATATAATGTTTGTAGACTGAAGAGGACCACCTGCCCAGCATTATTTAGCTATCTTCTAAAAGTCTTTTATTTGCGGCTGATGTAGCTATACCTATCCTAAAGGAGTGCCCGGTGTAGTCATGAGGAGAAATGTCACAGATCTTTAATACTTTAATGAGGTGTTGACTGAAGCGCTGTTGAGTCATGGAGAGAGTGAGAAAAAGTGGAGTCACCTGAGGTCTGAGATTGACATTTAAGATTTTTAATCATTAAAGAAAGAGGACAGAAAGGAGTGTGCACTTTGTTAATGATGATTAAGTGGCTGTGTGCCAATTCAATCGTTTTAGAATGTTTAAGAAAAAGGGAAAATAAGCTAGAAGAGAAAGGAATATATCGGTGAACACTACAACTCGAGAAGTGAAGATCGCAAGTACTCACAATGAAGAAGGCTAAGAGGAAAACTGCCTCCAAGAGAGTATCAGGATAGGGAGGAAAATAACCTACTCTGCTCTGAGAACAGAGGTCTTCCTATGTTAAATGTCCAAAGTTATTGGAAGCTGTTTATCGGGAAGAGATGAAGATTTCCTAATACTTGTGTGAAGAAGACGAAGTGAGGATTTGGAGAAGAGGCTGAGGTAGTCTGAGTGCATCTGACGGAAAACTGGATCATCTCCACCAATTTGTGGACCGAGGAAAATTTCAAGAAACACACTTTAAAAGCAGAAAGTGGAAAAAGTACAGACAGTGGAAACGAGAACTAGAACTACAGTGTGTGTGTGTGTGTGTGTGACAGCAAAAGAATAATGAACACTGTAATATAGAGTTAATGAATTCTTGTCAAATGAAACATCATTGCCCTGTTCTCTTGTTTTCCTAGCTGGTATTGTGCCTGGGAGTGCAGTGCTACGGTTCGAACTGGAGCTGGTGTCTCTGCAGAAGGGAGTTCCTGAAGGATACCTGTTCGTTTGGCTCGAAGATAGTCCAGTTCAGCTCTTTGAGGCTCTTGACATCAACCAGGACCAACAGGTCCCTTTAGAGGAGGTCAGTTTACGGATCCTGTAGGGCCCTATGAAATCCATTTGAGTTTTTCACAGATTCAGTTCCCTTTCAAGGCGGTCTTTTCGACATTACGTCATACTGACGTATATGGGAACTCCTCCCTTCTCCATTTTCACTGAAATCTTATAGGTTAACGCCAGCTGGAGACAGCTGGCCAATTGACGCAAAACATGCAAATGCTGACCGGTCCGCGGGCAGTATAAATAGCATGGGCGCGACAATTATGTCAAAATCTCTTTCTTCACGCTAGAAGTCTTATCTGAAGTCATCGTGGAAGTTGCAATAGAGGTTACTCACCATGTTTCCTCCCCGCATCCGATGGCTGCTACATGCCAGATATGTGCGGTATTGACTCGCTCTACCCAAACAAGGATCTACCGAGGCCGCACTCACGGACGACTGGCATACGTGCTGGTCTACCAGTGCGCGCCCTCATAAACTCCGGGCATCAGCAGGGATGAGGCCCACTGCCGCCAGCGGCTGCTGGTGGGCCCTCTCATGCCCAAAGAAGAGTTGACAGTCGTTCTCCCCTGTGGCCCAGTGGCGGAACCTGAAGCCTTCGCGCGAGAGACCCGTGTTCGATCCCGGCTCTCGCAGCAGATACATTTTAACCTGCCCGTCGCCTCTCCGGTCCTTTTCACGGGCTCGCTAGACGGACTCGACGCGATAGGCTTTGTCGGAAAGGATACTTTTATTATTTTACTTAGCCCGGTATCTAACAGCCAGGCTACTTCAAGAAAGATTCCGTCTTCACGACGTCCTATGGTAAGTCATGCGAAGACGCATCCAGAGAGACGAGGCAAGGCGTTGGCTCTGTGTCTAAAGGCGCGAAAGTGGTTGTTTCCCCCTGTGGCTCAGTGGCGAACCCCAAGGCCGTCGCACGGGAGACCCGTGTTCGATCCCAGCTCTCACAGCAGATAAAATTTAGTCTCGCCGCGGCCAGACATTAAACCGAAACTTTTGATCTCTATACGTCCAGCCTTCCTCGATGTCTCTCTTCGTCGGCACCTCGTCCCGCCTAATTCGGCTACAGCCGCCAAAACGGTTCGAACCCGAAACGAACCGGATCTTCACCGTTGGCAGAGGGCGGGACCGGGAATGTGGCGACACAGGCCACGGAGAGCGCCGCGTCAGGACGCCCCGCTCTGGTAATGGAGGTGCACAGCTTACAGCTTATGTCGTCAGGCTGCCCTGTATCCTTCAGTGCAACTGGCCATTCTGATTTAACCACGTATCCACAGTTGTTGTCGCTACGCCACTGACGCTGTGTTTATGTTCAGACTACACACTGATATGTGCTATGATTTGTGCCGTCATATATTGCCCTGTTTCTTTCAGTGCGAATGGCTATTCTGATTACCACGTATCCACAGTTGTTGTCGCTATGCCACTGACGCTGTGTTTATGTACACACTGCACACTGATATGTGCTATGGTTTAACTGTTATATCCTTATATATTGCCCTGTATCCCTCAGTGCAACTGGCCATTCTGATTTAACCACGTAATCACAGTTGTTGTCGCTACGCCACTGACGCTGTGTTTATGTACACACTGCACACTGATATGTGCTATGATTTAACTGTTATGCCCTGATATATTGCCCTGTATCCCTCAGTGCAACTGGCCATTCTGATTTAACCACGTAATCACAGTTGTTGTCGCTACGCCACTGACGCTGTGTTTATGTTCACACTGCACACTGATATGTGCTAAGATTTGCGCCGTTATATGCTGCCCTGTTTCTTCAGTGCAAATGGCTATTCTGATTACCACGTATTCACAGTTGTTGTGCGATGAAATGACGCTGTGTTTACGTGCACTCTACACACTGATATGTGTTCATGATTCATGCCGCTATAAATTGCCCTGTATCCTTCAGTGCAACTGGCTATTCTGATTCACAGTTGTGCGATGCCACTGACGCTGTGTTTATGTACACTGATATGTGTGTGTTATGCTTATGCCACGATATTGCCCTGTACCCTTCAGTGCAACTGGCTATTCTGATTACTACGTATTCACAGTTGTTGCGTTGCAACGGACGCTGTGTTACGTACACACTACGCACTGTTATGTGTATGATTTATGCCATTATATATTGCCCTGGTCCTTATCCTTCAGTGCAAATGGCTATTCCGATTACTACGTATTCACAGTCTTGCGATGCAACTGACGCTGTGTTACGTACACACCGTACACTGCGTTATGAATTTTGCCGTTGTTGCCCTGTATCCTTCAGTGCAAATGGCTATTCTGATTACTACGTATTCACAGTTGTTGTGCGATGCATCTGACGCTGTGTTACGTACACACTACACAGCGTTATGTGTTGGGATTTATGCCATTATATATTGCCCTGTAATTTTCAGTGCAAATGGCTATTCTGATTACTATGCAGGACGTATTCACAGTTGTTGTGCGATGCAACTGACGCTGTGTTTATTTACACACTACACACTATGTGTTATGAATTTTGCCTTTGTATTTTGCCCTGTATCCTTCAGTGCAAATAACTATTCTGATTACTACGTATTCACAGTGTGGTGCGATGCAACTGACACTGTGTTACGTACATACAACTCACTGTTATGTGTAATGATTTATGCCATTATATATTGCCCTGTGTCCTTCAGTGCAAATGGCTATTCTGATTACTACGCAGTGCATATTCACAGTTGTCGTGTGATGCAACTGACGCCGTGTCTATGTACACTCTACACACTGTATGTGTTATGATTTATGCCGTTGTACATTGCCCTGTATCCTTCAGTGCAAATGGCTATTCTGATTACGTACACAGTTGTTGTGCGGTGCAACTGACGCTGTGTACACGCTACGCACTGATGTGCTATGTTTACGCCGCTAAATATTGCCCTGTATCATCAGTGCAACCGGCTATTCTGACTTACTATGTATTCACAGTCGATGTCGCGATGCCTCTGACGCTGTGTTTTTGTACACACTAATGTGACTATGCTATCGCGTTGCCCTGTATCCTTCAGTGCACCTAGCTATCCTATCTAACTGTGCATAGTCACAGTTTGTCGCTACGGCGACTTGCGCTGCATCTGTGTCCACACTGAAGCGTTATGCAGTTATGTTGCTAACGTAACTGACCATTATGTGAACTGTGCATATTCATGCAGTCTCGGTCGCTTCGTCGACTTGCACCGCATTATACACTCAGATGTTTGATATGTGCACACTGATGGGTAATGCTGTTATGTTGCCCTCTATCCTTCAGTGCAACATCCAGCTATCCTATCTAACTGCATATTCAGTTCTGTCGCTATGGCGACTACACGGCACGTACAAGGACGTGTTTTTTCTATTTTGTTGCCCTGTTTCCTTCAGTGCAAAACTAGCTATCCTAATCTAACCGTGCATATTCACAGTTCTGGATGTATGTACGTAAACAGATGTGTTATGCTGTAATGCTGCCCTGTTTCCTTCAGTGCTGCTAGCCATCCTAATCTAACTATGCATCTTAGTTTCTGTCTCTACACAGTTTCTGTTGCTACAGCGACTTACGCTGCGTTATGTACATGCAAGGATGCGCTATTCCTTACTCACTTGTGTTATGCTGCCATGTTGCCCTGTATTTCAGTGCAACTAGCTATCCCAGTCAAACTGTGCATATTCACAGTCTCCGTCGATACGGCGACATGCGCTACATTTATTTACAAATGGATGTGTTCATGCAGCGGTGTTGCCCCGTATCCTTCAGCCTAATACGGAGCTAACTGCGTGTATTAAGTTGGCGCTACAGCGACCTATGCTGTACGTGCATGTGCTACGCTGTTATATTGCCCCGTTCCTATCAGGGCAACTGGTTATTCTGTGCAAACTCATATATTCACAGTTGTAGCTACAGTTATGACTGTGTTTGTTTGCTTACTGAGGTGCTATGCTATTATGGGGCTATTTTCTAACTGCGTATATTCACAGTTGTCGTCGCTACGGCCACTGGCACTGTGTTTATGGACATTCAGTTATGTGTTGATTTGCACTTCTGTACATTGGCTATAGAACATCGGCTATGTTCTACAAGGTGGCACCCCAGCCCCAAGCTGTGGAACCTTCTTGTGTGTCCGCTGCTGGGTCCTTAGTTGAGCAAGACACTTCACACTGACAAGTGCTGAGACGGAGCTCTCCCTGAGATGGCCTTACCACCGGCTCTCGCCCCAGCGAAGCACTTGGAGACTTACGCTCATTCTAGTGAATGTTGTCGCATTGTCTCGGACCTGATGACTGCAGCGTCACTCTCAGTCCGATACCAAGCTACGTTCCGAAGTCGCTTACATCGTTCAGAGCACAGGTTGATCCCTGCCCGCCTTATCTGCTGAGTTTCAGCCTCGCATGATGCCGATGCTCAGAGTGATGTTGGCCCTGTAAGGGATTTGTGGATGTACGTGGATCACTTGGCAGCAGTCTACCAGCTGTCTGTGTGCTTGGTGGATGGTACTAGGGACGTGCTGTTTTATACAGAGACTTCTCTCTGAATTCGATGCTTTAAATGGTTGCTTAATGCCTACGGGATTTAGGTATGCTGGCTGTCTTCTCAGAACACATTCGCCAGGGTTCCAAGTTTGATGCACCACCTTAGCGTTGTGGGTTCGGTGAGTTTTATCAATGTACTCATGAAACTGTTACCACCAGCTGTGCAGTAGTCTGTATTGCAGAGTTACCATTGCTGCTAACTCTGTGTTATGACTATAAGGTTACATAGCTGTTTCCACATTACGCAGTAGTTCCAACGTACTGTTAACTCTGTGTGTGGCTTAAGGTTATGCAGCTGTCACCGCTATGCCGTCGACACTGTGTTAGCTCTTGTGCTCGAGTGCTTATGGTGTTCTGCTGCCCTGTCCAGTGCAGCCTTCGCCTCATTGCAGTGGATGCGCAACTTGGTAAGCCGGAGCAGACGTTGGTCTAGTTTCGCCTATCAGTTTTGAGTGCTCCTAGCGGCGCTGCTGGCTTAGAACTGTTGTTCCTGTGGGAGTGTAGCTTGACCCCGTTCAGGGCTTATCTTCACTGCGCTCACGGCGGGATTCTATACAGTTCCCATATACGTCAGTATGACGTAATGTCGAAGTGACCGCCTTGAAAGGGAACGTCTCCGGTTACTATCGTAACCTCGGTTCCCTGAGAGGCGGGAACGAGACATTACGTCAACCGCCGTGCTCGCCGTTTGATCAGCTGTGCTAGCGTTCAGTCTTGATTCTGACGTAATTGTCGCGCCCATGCTATTTATACTGCCCGCGGACCGGTCAGCATTTGCATGTTTTGCGTCAATTGGCCAGCTGTCTCCAGCTGGCGTTAACCTATAAGATTTCAGTGAAAATGGAGAAGGGAGGAGTTCCCATATACGTCAGTATGACGTAATGTCTCGTTCCCGCCTCTCAGGGAACCGAGGTTACGATAGTAACCGGAGACGTTTTTTTTCCTTCATTTGAATTTTTCTGGAATCTGTTTAATCCACCTATTTCCTAATAAGCCTACTGCGTTTAACATTATGGGAGGCACTTCCGGTCTGTGGAAGTTCCACTCAAAAAGACAGAAACAAATCATGTCAAATCATAAGGTTGCAAATCATAATCCTTATCCATCAGTTTGACTGAATGAGCTTTAAAATGTCCTTCATGTTCTATTTTCAGACATCAGGAGAATCATGTAACCCTTTTTAACGTAATGCTTTATAATGTAACAGTATCTTAATGTGACGTACTGTATATAACATGGCAAGAGCTCTTTTCAGTCGCTATATTCTTTTCCTCCTAATTCTTTTCTTTTTTCCCCGCGTTGTATTCTGCTGTAACGGTATGAAAAAAGACAACATGTACAGCGGTGTGGTCTACTCTCTCGATTTAATTTACGATATATCCCATGAATAATTCAATGCAGTACACTTGTTTTTCTTCCCCAAATCCTCACATCTCTTTCCAGGGTTGTTTTCACACGAATGCTTTAAAATGTTATTGTCTCCCCTTTTCACTTCTGATCCCTATTGTGGTGTTTACTGTAATGTTTCTGAAGCAGGTAAATACAATATTTATTGTCTGTCAAAATGACAGAAATCATTTTGAAATATTAAGTTACTCCCATAATTTGCACAAAGCATCATGGGGCATAGAAATTTTAGCAACCATAAAGCATTATGAAATCATAAAACTTATATAACTTTACAACAATTTATTAAAAGGATAACAAGGCCCTTTCAATTTTTTTTTCTTTTACCCAAATTCCGTTTTATTTTTCTCAAATTCTGTTTTTTGTTTTATTTTTTTTAATGGTTACAAACATTTAAATAATCAAAAAGCATGTCTAATCAATTGAATTTATCAAACTTTTTAACAATTTATTATTATTTATTTTTACAATAATAAGGCCCTATTAAATATTTGAGTTTTTCAGAAATTTTGTTTTGTCTGTTTTATTTTTTTCTGGATTTGTTTTGATACAAATTTAGCATCATAAACAGTGGAAATCAAATGAAGGCATAAAATATAATGATTTTGTAATTATTATTATTACTTTGACAATTCTACTGTACAGTAGTAGGCTAATATATTTCTGTCACAATTTCTTCAAGTTAAAAGGAACTTTTATTTTGATAGGCTATTTTTAAGACATTTTTAAGATTTTCACATTCTAATACTAAACTCACTGACTTGACTAGTTACTGTAAGTATCGTTACAGTGCTAGATATGAGACTTGTCTCTTGCACTACTAAATTAGCATTATCTTTACTATTGCTGACATGCTGTATTTACCTCTTGGCTCCGTTTTCTTTTCAGGGTACATGTTCTTTGCACTTAAATGCTTGTTTTATAAAGTGTCAGTGAGTCTTTGTTAGGAAAGCAATGATTTAGTTTTAAACCTCACTTTCCTACCATGTCTCTCCACAGTTTTCACAGTTCATCAAACAGCAGGTATCAGAAGGGAAAGGTCGTCTGAAACCAGCTCAAGATGCGGACAGTGTCATCACTGACATGTTCAAGAACCAGGACCGGAACGCTGATGGTCTGATCACTCTGGATGAACTCAAACTAAAATCAGATGAAGATGCAGAGAAAGCACGTCACGAAGAACTGTGAAACACACACAAACACATGTGAATGTACATGCATTCAGACAGAGAGCAAAGCAACAGACTCATAATCCTGAGGCTGAAAACCAGACCAACAAGCTTTCCAGTATTAAAAGTGTACATTTGATTGTTACATATTTTTTTTATACTTTTAGATATAAAAAAAAATCAGATCTCTAAATCTCTTTGTGCCATTGAATAAAAGTTCCAAACTAAAGTGTTTGCAAACATTTTGTTTTGAAATGGAACATCATGACTACTACACTTACAAAAAAAAGATTATTCAAGTGAGCTATTTTTGTTTACTTTTTTTGGACTGAAAATAAGTGAGTTTACTTTGTCTAGTTTTTATGGACTTCTTAAAGAAATTATACTTTGCTAAGTGAATACCTAAATAGGGAAAAAATAGTAAGTAATAAACTATAAGTATGGTGTTAAGTTCACTTAAAGAAAGTATAATTGCAGTATAAAAACTAATAAACTAGTAGTTTACTGAGAGTATACTTAAAAGTGTACTTTCATAAACTAAAAAGTGGGCTAGTATATAGCTAACAGTACCTATTTCCCTTGTAGTATAGTTCACAGTATAGTTATAGTCGCAATACAAACCAAATACTTGGATGTAAACTAATTGTGTACTCAAAAGTTTACAAAAAGTACACTAACTTTTATAAACTAAAAAGTAGACCAATTTAGACCCAATAAGTACTGAAATAGTACACTTACAAGTATACTAGTACAATGATTTTACAATACTTTCTACATGAAGTATACTTGGTAAATATAATTGGAGTTTATTTTAAGTTTATTTTTTTAAGGGTTCTTCATGCATGATGGATTTGTTCATTCTTCCTATTATAATGCTCTTCTGTGATGGATCATTTTCCAGCTATACATATTTTCAGTGGGAGAATGTAAAGTTTTAAGCCTATAAGAAGACATTTGAATTTTTGACAACTTGCTGGATGTAGTGTTGTTTAATACGGTACCATTCTGCCTTATCTTTTCATTGGTTTCTATTGGACTTTCTGTATATAGATTTGTGTCCACTTTTCGCCAAATATTAAATATTTAAATGAAAAATACACTTAAATGCCAAATGGTCTGCTCAGTATTTTCATTGACATTTCTGGGAAAAGTCTGAGCATTAATGAGTTAATGTGAAACAGACTGTGGCAAGGAGAAACTCGCTAAGATGTTTAGATAGGGGAAGAAACCTTGGAACCAAGACTCAATTTGACAAATAGAGTTCCAGCAGGAAACACTGATATTGCAGTTCACCAAAACACAATGCCACGGTTTCACAGACAGGTCTTAGATTAAGCCAGGAGTAGTAGTTAAATTAGGATTTTTAAGTAGCTTGTACACATGCCTTAGAAAAAAAAAAACATTACTGGTGTGCATCTTGAGACAAAAAAAAAAAAAAAAAAACGGCACTGAGATATTTCAGCGCAAGTTGCTTTCAGTTAAGACAGCTCAAACATGAATTTTAGTCTGGGACTAGGCTTAAACCTTGTCTGTGAAACCGGGCGAATGTCTGTGGTCATCTAACTCAAACCCTTTGGCTGTAATAATTAACTTTCTATTGCAAACTTTGTGACCTTGCTTGAGGGTGATGGATTATAGTATGATCACAAAATCAAAACTATCTGACTGTTTGACTTTCCTGGTTTTACAGTATGGCACGTTATTCCAGACTTATTCTCTATTTGTTCTATACTTGGAACCTAACAAGTATCCAATGTAATGTAACAGTGATAAACATGACATGCTCAGATGCTGCTGCATTTTGAACCAACTGAAGCTTGTTGCAGCTTATTGTAATCTAGTTGAAGTTTTTCACACTGCTAATCGTACAATTTTTAGTGTCGAACACTGACTACTGTAACGGAGAAGATTCTCTAAGCATCTGTAGAAAAGATTCCAACTTAACTATTCTTTTCTTTGTCATTTCACCATAGTATTTCCCATACTAGTTTGATACTCAAACCAGTTTGGCAATAATCATCTGAAAATGCCTCAATCAATCCATAGTTAACACTGTAGTGCAAGTTACACTGCATCATAAAACATTTTAGTAAACGTAAAAGTAACAGCACTTCAAGGGTGAGAATCAACTGGGTAGAAGAACGACTCGTGGACAATATTAGATTTTTAATAAATATTTATTGCAAATCACTGAGATCCACAACATGTGCATACTTTATAACACATGCAACAAAACTATACTCGCCCTTGAAAGACTTTACAACAGCGAGAACGGGACAAGGGAACATCCCAGCTTTGCTACTCTTATTGTCAGACACTTTCTCCATCGACACGCACACATACACACCCCTTTCCTCTGTGCATGAAGGAAAGAAAACTGGTAGAGTTTAAACACTATTAAACCACATCTCAACATGAGAGACACAAAACGTACATTTCCCATTGAGTAAATACAATATCTACGATTCTACAGTCTCCAATATGCAGGAAAATGTTTGAAAAAGGCTTATTAATGCATGTTCAATCAATGCATGTTCAATCTTTTTTTTTCTTTTCTCGTATGATATGACTATGAAACTGCACAAGTCAAGACGAGAGCTATAGATACATTGTCAAAAGCCATTTCTATCTTGCATTTAGTAAAGATTTTAACATCGCAGCGTAACATTAGGTCAGCTAAGATGACATTCTTTAAGACTTTGGTATGGACAAAATAACAGTAACATGTTCTTCAGGCAAACATTATGAATGTTTAAGCTGGTCTTGATGGTGCCAATGATTGCTTCACAAGTTTTCCCCCAGTGAAGTGCACTGAGATTTCTTGTAAGACACTAAACATCACACACTGAAAAAGATAAGGGAATGTAAAAAGAATATGATAATAAATATATTTTGTAATAAGGACAAGGAAGCAGTAATGGTACCATCTGTATGAGCTATATCATAATTAGGAATGTACAACAGTTCACTGAAAAAAAAAAAAAACATTGTTCAAATCAGACGTTATTAATTATTGGCAGGAATTCCATGACAGAACACAAACCAATGTCTTTGAGGTGGCTAAAAATATGAATAAAAAAAACATTAAAGTAAGGAAACCGAGAGATCTCGAACTGGCACAGACTGTAAGACTGATGACAAAATAATTTGGAAAGGTTGCAATGGTCATGCACACACTGAGGTAATGGTTCCTTGACTTTATTCTGAACATGTCTGGTTTTGCAACTGTATTATGTGTAGCCTTCACGCATCAATAACTGATGCCATAACTAGGAAAAATAACAAATATAATCAAATAAAATGATAAGATTAAGACGAAGGCTAGTGCTGAAATTAAGTGCTTGTAGTTGTGAAGAATGCATTTTTGCAAATACAGCCAAAGACCGTGAACGCATTGCATTTGAGTGCAAAACTAACCAAATCATCACAATTAAGACCAGGAACTAATAAACAAAGTGATGAGAATAAAGATGCAGTGGTACTTGTGGTAACTCATGGTTTGCTCAAAAAATGTGAATGCTTTTGAACTGCCAATTCATTACAGCAGGACACTGTCACTCCCTGCACAATAATAAAAAAAACCACAAATGTAGATGACAACCATCACCACATGGAACGTTATGACTAAGGTAAATTAAGTGCAGCATTCTGCAACTTGCCGACAACGGGAATAAGGCAAATTCATGCAACGCCATGAAACAATGTTTCATGTGTACGGATATTAACAAACATATCTTTTTTTTTTTTTACATATTTATAGGAATCTATTATTCAAACAGTCACATTGAAAATACTCTTCTTTATCAGCATCAGCCATTTCATTCACTCTCCCAGTGATGAAATGTCACAAGTAAACAAGTAACACACATTTTAATGAGAATGGGATCATGGGAACGCTATATTATCACATTTTTTTTGCAGCAGTTCTTCTATTGAGCAATAAGGGCACTCAGCATTCAATCTGCGATTGTAGCTGCCTGCGTAGAGTCAACGTGCGACGATGCAACTGCTGCATTTGCTGCATACGGTCCCTCTGCCGTGCCAGATTCTGTGGCATTGGGTAGCGCTGACACCCATAAAGAAAGCGGTAGGGAATGCGCACGTGGCACGCTGTGGCACGGCAGCGAGGTTGAGGCATGGGCGGCAGAAGCATCCAGCGCTTGCGCTCAGCGCAATACCGATACGCCTCTTTTCGATACTGCTTATCCACATCGTCACTGTTCTTCCAGCCACCAATCACAAACACATCATCACCAAGATAGCAGATAGCTGCCCCCTCAATACTGGTAACTTCTGGCGGAAGACTCTCAAGAATATCATCAGAGATCCTTGCGGTGATCTTCTGCCGAGCTGCTTCATCACGTACGTTGGTATAACTCTTGGGACAGCAGGAAGCTGTGTGGTAGAAGTTAGTCGACGCCACAGCCATTTGGAACAAGCAGTAGTTGTCGATAAGCGGTAAGGAGTCAACTTCCTGCCATTGGCGACTGTCGGTGTCGTAGCGAGTAGTGACCGTCTTCAACCCGTCATCGCTGTCGGTATCTACGGGTGTTCGCGCCGTTACGTAAACATATCGATCTTCGACACTAATGGCCTTGACGTCTCTTAAAATCTTAGGGGCAGATTCTAGGTTGTGCCACTTGTCTTGGTCAGGTTCGTAGACGCTCACATCCTTGAAGCCGGGGCTGAAGTTGCCATGACCACCAATACTATACAGAATATTTTTGATGCAGGTGAGCCCAAAGGAATGCTTCCGTGTGGTGAGGTTGCTCACTTGTTCCCATGTGTTGCGATTTGGATTGTAGCGCTCCACCGTCTTGGCAAATCCTGGTTCCATGGACCCAGCCACGTATACATGTGTATCAGTGGCAGCAATAGCGTGACCATCCAGATGGTTATGGATGTGTGGCAAATTGACCCAACGGTCCTCGTATACAAAGTACCCTACGCACTCACTCAGGTAGTCGCCTCCTTCAGAGACCCCGCCGACTACCATGATAACATCCATGTTCTGGCCAAATCTTGGTTGGAACGTGGCCATGTATGAGGCCCAAAACTCTGTATCTGCAGATTTGAGGTTCTCGAAGCGGATCGCATGACCCTCCACAGCCTCTGACACAAGCTGTAGGCAGGCTGCGTTCTGTGCGACCAATGGCTCGTTCTTCACAACTCTCGTAAGATAGGTCGGCTTTATCTGTGGCAGCCTGAGGAGACGAAAGAGCTCCTCAAAATACTTCACACGTTCTTCGGAGCTC